TATATATATATATATATATATATATATATAAATTAAGCATGAAAACCTGTGTTTGGAGCTTGTGCCTCTACCCATTTGTGACCTTCAACAAGGCATTTACCTCTCTAAGCCAGATGGAGAATCATTCCTGCCCTACAACTACGTTGTGGGGAGTCACTGAAACCAGTAGGGAAAGGGCTGGGCAGAGCCAGAGCCCCACAGACGGTAGCTGTGTCTTTCTGTGGGTTGCTAGCTGGATTCCCAGAGGCTGGCAGAGAGCAGCCATCACCTATTAGGAAGGGTGGCCCTGCAGCAGCTCATCCCAAGTGTCACTGAGAGAGCAAAGCCTGTAGGAGCTCTGGCAGTGCAGGGCCTCCCAGAGGCCTAACAGGGCCTGGGGCCTTTTCCATTCTTTGAGGCTCCTGGCACTTTAAAAAAATGAGGAAATACCTCAACAAGATTGTCAAAATTGGGGCATATTTGAAACACTTACATTGAACCAACTGATGATTGTAACACACATGTAATAGCTCCCATACAAGATAATTCTACTGTTTACAAGCTAATGGTGGAAAGAGGTATGCTGTAAAGAATATCTTTCATGCCTGACCACGTATGTCTGTGACAGTCTTATTTTCCTTACTTAGAGGTGATATCAGCAAACTAAATCTGCAGCCACAGGGGCACACGAGGCCCTCCGGGGCCCTTAATGGTAGACCCTGAGCAATGGCTCTCCATCTAGAAGTGTCCATCTACTAGGACCCTGGAGTGCATTTCCTGTGTCACCATAGCCTGTGCTTAAAGCAGACCTTCCAAACTCACTTTCCAAATTCAGTGAAAATCTGCCCTGTGTTTTTAGGCCCTATATGCATCACTTTGTAACACAGTAAGTGCATTTTTAAAAGACCCCAGTTGTGAAGGAACAAAATAGCACCAGACTCAGACTCCTGGAAGGAACTAGTGGTTACCAAAGGGGAGGGGTAAGGAGGGAAGGAGAAGGGGATTGAGGGCTATTATGTTTAGTACACATGGTGTGGGGGATCCCGGGGAGAACACTGTAGCGCAGAGAAGGCACATAGTGACTCTGTGGCATCTTGCTGCATTGATGGACAGTGACTGCATTGGGGTATGGGTGGGGACTTGATAAAATGGGTAAATGTAGTAACAACATTGCTTTTTCATGTGAAACCTTCATAAGAGTGTGTATCAGTAATACCTTAATAAAAATTTTTTAATAATAAATAGATAGATAGATAAATAAGTAAGACCCCAATTGCAATGGAAGACACACCGTGGGAATGAGACTCCACTCCACTGGGCTTCTCTCTCCTCAGCCCTGGGCCCTGCCAGCTGCACTTGTGCCGGGTGGCCTTAGGCTCTCCTTTCTGTGGACAGCCATCAGCAGCTCCCAGGGATCCCTTGTGCAGATGAGAAGCTGAGATGGGAGCTCAGGCAGGAGTCAGTGGCTCTCCTTACCCAGCAGGCTGGCTGCTGCTGGGCCATCCCCACTCCCCATGCCCTCAACCCAGGACCTGGCTCCCACTTCCCAGAAGGGGCTCTCCTCCTAGGGGCACCTGTGATCTCTAGTCTGGATGCCCCTAGCCCTGTCCCCAACCCTCTTAGGTGACTTAAATGGCAACAAGGGAGCTGGCAGCCCCTAACTTCACCCAGGCCTGAAGAAGCCACTCATGTCTGCGGCCACACCACCCCCGGTGACCCTGTGAGACCTTGGCCAGTCCCAGAGCTTCTCAGAACCCACCTAACCAACCAAGAAGGGAAACGAAGAAGGGGGAAGGCAACCTTGGAAGATCCTCTGGGCCCTGGGAGTATGCGGCCCGGACCCTCCTCCCCCACTCCCCCACTCCCCCGGCACGGCTGCCTGGTCCAAAGTCCAAGGTCACTTACTGTCTGAGGTAAGGAATCCGGCCCGACGGGATTCTTGCGCCTCTCCCTTCAGTGAAACGGCGCGGGGGCCCAGTGGCAGGTGGAGGAGACTGAGGTGGGGACGGGCGGGGCCTGCGCGGGGAGGGTACCCAGGTTCCTCGCTGCAGGGCCTCTGGGGAGCGTCCGGCTGGACTACAGCCCCAGTGTGGGAAGCCGCTGACCGCTCTACCCTGTACCTCCCGCAGGCTCAAGCGGGCTGGCTTCGCCATTGGAGCTTACATTTACCTCGACAAGGACGCAGAGCTGCTGGGGCTGCAGCAACGGCTGGGCCAGGGGAGGGAGGCAGTGGGCCTAGGCGGGCAGCCTGTGCCAGGCAAAGGTTCCGCGTCCTTCAGGCAGCACTAACCCGGCTGCAGCCCACGGGTCAGCTGGTCCTCCGGAGAAGCCAAACCTCCCTGGAGCCACGCCCTTGGGTCCCTTGCCCCTCCGCTGTGGTGAGACCCCCGCAGCGCCTGTCCTGGCCACCTGCACGCACCGTGGTGCAGAAGCACTCCGCCCTCCTTCCTCCTCCAGGGCCTGCATGCTGTGGGTGCTCAGGGAACTCTGAAGGGATGTATGAATGCACTGAAGGTGCCTGAGGAGGTGGCCCACTGCAGTGAGTTTTAATCCCCGTCCCATCACTATTTGGCACTGGACAGGGGATTGTTCTCTCTGTGCCTCTGTTCCTTGCCTGTAAAGTGGGGACAATATGAGCACCTACCTCACATAGTTGTTAGGAGAATTAAATGGGTGAAGAGTTACAAAGAGCTTGGATCAGAGGCTGGCACACAGCCAGAGTGTGAAGAGAAAGGATACTGCGTTCCAGGCCATTGTCATCACATCTACCTGCATGAACCCTGCAACACCTGGCCTCTGGGCCTTTGATCATTGACTTGTGCCTTCTCTTCTTCCACAATGCCAGCCACCATGCCAGCACTTTCTTACCCCCAGAAACAGCCCCACCCTGGGATTTGGGACCATCCCTCCTTGGCTCCTGTCTTGCCAATGGGTTTCAGCCCCGGGCAAGCTCGGTATGGATTCAATGTGACCAAAGAAATGACAGTAGAATGTTCTTGGGGTGAAAGGGTTATACCCAACTTTATTTCCACAATGGCAGGTCAATCACTAAAATCCCATTCACTCAGAGCGAGTCTGCATACAGCAAGCTGGTCTCTGCCTCTGGGCCTCTCTGCCCGCACAGCCGTCCTCTAGGCCTCTGTCCTCTGCTCTGCTCTCCTGCAGCCTGGCAGCCATGCCACCCTGTCATGCAGAGCACTGGGCAGGGCTGTTTATACAGAGTCAATAACAATGTATTGCCCACAGGTGTGCAGTGAGCTAGCCAACCAGGGCCAGGTGAGAATCCTGGCCACAGGAACCTTCATTTTATCCACAGGTCCACCAGCTCCCCTCCTCTGAGCTTAGGGCTCTGAGCCAGGACTCTATTTACCGTCTTTCTTCCGGTCAGCGTTCACCTCCTTCTACCCCTTGTGTAGATTCCACCCCCTCGTAACAGGGGTTAGGAGGATTCCGCTCCCTCTTGGCAGAGACATCGGTGAGTACTTCCCCTATTGGGAGCACTTCTCTTCCGTGGGCACACAGGAAGGCCACATTTCCCAGCCCCACTGCCGTGTAGTAGGCCAGGACCACATGACTCCTCCTCTCTAGGTCACTTCTCCCGGGACAGCCTCTCTTCCCTCCTTCTTCCCTGCCTCTGATCAGCAGCAAAGGATCCAAAGGAGCCCAGGGAAGAAGCCAGGGCCAGGTGCTGGTCCCAAGGTGCCTGGATCCCTGCATCACCACGTGGAAGGCTACCCGCCCACCACGCGAACAGACTAAGACATGAGGAGAGGAAAATGTGTCCCTTCCCAGCCAAGGATGTTAAAGATCTGGTATGCCTTCCCCAAACTCTCTTCTCCTTCCACTGTGACCCAGGGAGCTTCCAAGTGAAGATAACAGCATCATGCGAACGATCCCAGAGTTACCACTTGGGGAAGAGACTAACCGGGAACATCTACAGGGACCGTACGAGCCTGAAGCAAAGCTTTATGGTGTTCCACTGCTGTGATCTGGGGCCTATGTGTAAAAGCACTTGGCTTTTCACTAGCATATCACTCCCTTCCCCCTTTGTATTCACCTGGCAAACCCCCACCCTAGGTGAACCCAGCCGGCTCCTTTTTACCTGCCCTTCTCAACTGCCACTGAAGAGCTGAATGTTCCTCGAGAATCTACTATAGCTGGTTTATCTGGTTTTACTTAAATTCCTGAACATGAGCCAAGGAGAACCCGCACACAGTCCTACTGCCTGTGCCAGGAAGCTGGTTTTTCTCATCTGAGATGACCAACTTGAACATCTTAACTACGTAGGTGTGCCATTCAGTAGGTTAAGTAAATTGACATTGCTGTGCAGCCAACCTTCAGCACGCTTTTCAGCTGAACTCTGTCCCCATTAACCAGCTCCCGTTCACCGCCCCCTCCAGCCCCTGGGAACCCCACCCCCACCCCCACCCCACCCTCAGTCTACTTTGTGTCTATATGAATTCCTCTACTCCAGGGATTTCCTGTAGTTGTTCTTTTGTGTCCGATCTATAATGTCCTTGAGGTTCATCCATGTTGTAGCATGTGTCAGAATTTTATTCCTTTTTAAGACTGAATAGTCTATTGTATGCATATACCTGTTTTGTTTGTTTATTCTGCCATTGTTTGGTTGTTTCCACCTTTTAGCTATTGTGAATAATACTTCTAGGAACATGGGTGCACAAATATCTGTTCAAGTCCCTACTTTCAATTCTTTTGAGGATGGGGGTACACCCCAGGGTGGAACTGCTGGGTCGAATGGTGATTCTGCATTTTGTTTTGTGAGGAAGTGCAGACTGTTCTCCACAATGGCTGCGCTGTTTTCCAGTCCCATGGTGCACAAAGGTTCCAGTTTCTCTACATCCTTAGCAACACTTACTGTTGTCTATTTTTTTATAATAGGCTCCTAATGGGTGTGAAGTGGTATCTCCTTGCAGTTTCAATTTGCGGTTTCCTAATGATTAGTGATGTTGAGCGTCCTTTCGTGTGCTCACTGGCCATTTGCATATCATTTAAAGCTTTTCACAGAAGTAATTGTCTGCATAACACAGTACCCTTGTCTCTTTCTCCACTGCCGGCTCCCAAATTTCATCTTAAATAATGTTTGTGATGAGGGTCTTCCCCTTACTCCGCTGACCTTCTCCAAGCCTTTGGGGGGGCCCTCACCACCCTTGCTCATACTCTGGGGGTCAGGTGCTTTGCCTCTGTTCTGCTTCCTTCGGTCCCTCCCACCATCTCTTCTTCCAGGGAATGGAGCCGCATTTCCAGGACTGAGCTCTGATGCCCATATTCTGGAAGCCCTGCGGGACTCAGAAACCACCGACTGGCCAGATCGCTCAGGGGCTGCCGCATCTGGTGCCGCATCCGTTCTTTCTGCCCCTGGGGGCCCTTGGTAACCACAACCCTGCTTTACAGAGAGGCTGGCAGGAGCTTTGACCAGAATTTATGGTCTTCCTCCAACCTCCTCCCCTTCTCCGTTCTCCAACTGGTACCTGGTTCTACCTGGGGCTACTTTACAGGGGTGCAGCTGTCCCTTCCTTCTCCCCACCCAGGTCCCTGCTCATATCTTCATTGCCTCCCTTCTCCAAAGAAATTCAATCTTATAAAAGACAAATTTCCATTTTTATTCAAAATGGATTTTTTTGCTCCATCAAAATACTTAATAGCAGCTCCCTGCAGAAAAGTTGGGAAATATGAAAAAGAAAAAGAAAAATTCCTACCAGGCAAGGTGTGGAAAAAATGAGAGTTCCTGTGGCTAGGATTCTCACCTGGCCCTGGCTGACTGGCTCACTGCACACCTGTGGGCAGTACATGGCTGTTGACTCTATAAAAAGAGCTCCACCCAGTGCTCTGGGCGCATGACACGGTGGCACGGCTGCAAGGCTGCAGGAGAGCAGAGCAGAGGCTGGAGTGGTGGCAGCGCCGAGGACAGAGGCCCAGGAGACGGCTGTGCGGAATGACTGTGCAGAGAAGTCCAGAGGACGGCTGTGCAGACAGAGGGGCCCAGAAGCAGACCGGCCTGCTGCCTGCAGACTCGCTCTGAGTGAATGGGATTCCAGTGACTGACCTGCCACCTGGAAATAAAATTGAGTATAACCCTTCACCCCAAAGAACGTTTTCCTGTCAATTTCTTTGGTCACACTGAATCCATAGTGAACTTGCCCGGGGCTGAAACCCATTGGCAAGACACAGAGATCACTGTGACCATGCGGATTTGCTGCATTTCCTTCTAATCTCTCTGGGTCTATGGCTTTTGGACAATTTTGTATCCTGTCTTTTCTTTTTTCCTTAAAATTATACTGTGGTACCAACACATGTAGATTAATGTATGGCTCGAGGGATGGACACACGGATAGACATACAAGGAACAGGCAGAGTAGAATGTCAACTGAGGCATCCGGCTGGAGCCTGCATGAGATCCACTGAACGGTTCTTTCGGATTTTCTGTAGCTGTTATAGGACCCCCCAAATATCAGGGTCTTGAGTTTCAATGTTATAGAAATGAACACTGAACTCGAAGGCAATCAAGCAAACAGGCAGAGTTCATCAGACACAGCTTGAATACAAGGGAGCTACAGGAAGGAGCGGCCAGGCTGCCCAGGGAGGCGGCTGAGTGGGGCCTATAAAGCGGTCTTTGAAGGTCCGGGGGCGCAGACGTGTGACAATGATTGATCTTTCCTGATGACTTCATGCCAATATATCTCTGGGTGAGGCACTACTTTGACGTTGACCAGACATCAGTTTATAATCTCACAGTCTGTTAGTCGAAAGGTTTCTTTTGATGCCTGAGAACACAGGCTTTCAGGGAAAAAAATTTCATAATAAATTGTCACAGGTCAAGTTAACCTAAAACTTGTGCTTGATCAGGAGCTATTCTAAAAATATGTTTTTGAGTTCTGTACACATCCCAAGATGGAAGCTCATCCCCAAATGGGGTCCCTCCTGTTCAATCCCTGGCTGCTTCATTGGTATGAAATTTTTCATAACAAAGTGTGGAGAAGCAATTGGATTATGACCATATACATATCTTAAGAACAGTAATCACATTCCTGGAGATACACCTGATAGAATGAGCACTTACGTCCACCAACAGACGTGCGAACCACGCCCAGGCAACGCCATTCATAATGGCCCCACGTGGGGAGAAGGTGCAAACAGGCTAATACATTCACAGCGTGGCCCACCGCCGTCGGTGAAGAGAGCGCGCACCACGGGGACGTGGCTTGGAGCGTGAGGACACAGACCAGAGCACACAGTCTGATCTGTTTCTGTGCCACTCCAGAGCAGCAGAACTAACTGATGGGGTTTGAAGTCAGGATGACGGATTCCCCTGGGGAAGTGGCCTTCGGGAAAGGGCACTTGGGGGCCTTCTGGGGCTGGGAAGGTCTTGAGCTGGATAGTAGACAGGTGTATAGCTTTTCCAAAATAATTGAGTTGTATGTTAAAATTTGTGGACTTTAAATTATGCTTCAAATGAAACGTTTATCATGAGCATTCTCCCAGGTGCTCTGATTTTCTCTGAAGACACCACCTTGGGTGGCCACATTATCTCTGGGCTCACTCTCACTCGTCCACACATCTGCCCCCAGAACTGATGGGGAGGCCACAGCCCTTGGCCACTGGCTGCTCCAGGTGGCTCTCCTGGTTGCAGACAACCATCCCTAATTCAGGTTGACTCAAGAGACAAAAGAATGTATTGGGAGACTCTCAGGGAAGGGTAGGAAACCTGGGTTGGAGAGGAGGAGAAGCTGAGGAGTCTTTAGGGGTTCCCTAGGCTGCTCATGGGGCCACTGTGGCCACTGCTGACACATGGATGCCACCAAGGACAGTGTTGCCGTGACATGCTACAGCCAGCCACTAGAAGAGCTCCCGGTGGTACCTGGTCGTTTGTGGAGGAATGAAAGGCTTGAGTCTACAGGCTGGTGAGTGGGGGGAAGGTTCTGGTCCCCACAGCCCCAAGGCCTCCACGGTGGGGAATTCTACACTGCAGAAGGCACAGACCCAACACCAGTCAGCTAAACCAAGCAGCCCAGTGGCTTCTACCCAGAGAAGTGCCACACAATGCCAATAGCATCTAGTGCTCGCTGAGCACTCCTGGGTGCCAGCTCCCTGTGAGGGGCTGTCTGCACAGGTCACTGCACAGAACCTTCCCATTAGCCTTGCGGGGGGTCAGCAGAACAGGCACAGCAAGCTGGCGATTGGCCCAGCAGACAGCAAGTATGCCGCATGCAAGGCACCAGTGTGTGGGGGCTGTGTGGCCCTCTTAGAGCCAGGCGGTGTGTCTCCAGCCTGTTTTCCCCTCTCGCTGCCCTGTACACAGGGGCCCCGAAGCCTGAAACTACATTTCCCAGAGTCTCCTGCAGCGGGGTCCAGGTTAGCATATGGCAATCACAGGTGTTTGGCTGGGATCTGGGAGCCTGGACGGGGGCGGTGGTGGCAGAATGGCTTTGTCGGATGTGACACTTGGCCAGTGACTTCCAGGGGTCTTCTGGTAGCTCCCATGTCTACGCTTCCTGATTTCTCAATGCCAGGGTGCTGCCTCCCCTGCGCTCTCCAAGCTCTGCCAATGGTTTTGAAGCCCTTACATGCCTGAGTTCAAGCCCTCTCTACCTGAAATCCTGCTTTCATGGCAGAACCTTGCCCGGTCAGGACGGCACACACTGCAGTTGTTGGGAATGCTGGCTTCAGAGCAAAATGGCTGGAGTTCAAAGCCCCACCTGGTCATTCTGTGGGTCCGTCCAGTCACTTGGAGCATCTCAGTCTCATTTACTGTTTCCTCACTTAGGACATGCAGTGGTGAGGTCTCCCTCAAGCGGTGTGGGAAGAAACCAAGAGAACACGTGGCAAGTTCAGGCCACTAAGTAAATTAGTCACTATCACTGTTACCATCCCCATTTACCAGATGAGAAAAGCAAGGCTGGAAGAGGTGACGTCATTTGCCCCAAACCACACATCCAGGTGGGTGGGTGTGGATTCAAACCCAGGAGTGTGAGGCCTCCGGCTCCTTGGTTTCTCCCACTGTGCCTCAGGCCTTCAGCACTCAGCAAGCAAGGGGTGCGGGTCAGCATCCCACAGAAGGTGCAGCAGGGTGAAGGGAGATGGGTCACCGGCCTGCCTCCGCTCTCCCCTGGGGCTGCCAGGAGGAGCAGTGGGCGGTCATGACCCTGGCCTGTCACCACCTCTTCGTCTCACCTGCGGGCCTTGCTCGCCTGTGTGCTGCAGAAGGCAGGGGTCAGAGCCTGCTGTTGACAGAAGCTTGGAGCAAGGCTGTGCCCAGCCCTGGGCCACAGAGCCCTGGGCCACAGAGCCCTGCGCCACAGAGCAGAGCAGTGAGCAGGCTGGCCTCTGGCCTGACCTCTGACTTCCCGATCCTTTCACCGCGCCCGGCTCACCCGGCATGGCAGCAGGGCATCAAAGGCCTGGAGGCTGTACCTGGGGCTGTGGACGAAGGCACTGGGGGTGGCAACACAGTCCAAACCATCCTTCTCCCTCAGTGGTCTTGGCCTATGGCGGCAAGAAGGCAGGTGGCAGCCTCAGGCTCACGTCCTACCAATGGAGAGAGAGGCTCCTTGCCTTAGGGGCCCAGCTAAAGCCCCAAGGTTGCATTTCATTGTCCCTGCGTGGCCATATGTCCATCCCTAGACTGATAACAGTGCCAGGGACATGCCGTCTGAGTCTTCAGACTCAGGCTGGGGTGGCTGTGGAAGCTGGTCCACCCTGAGCCATAGGGGCCAAGAATAGGGAAGTGACCTTTTCCAAAGAAGGCGCCAGCCTCCAGTAAGTGGACCTGGTGAAGGACCACGGCTGGGGAGCCAAGGACCCCAGCCTGTCCTCAGTCCCACCTCTGCTGACAGTGGCTGCACTTGCCTTCCGTCCTCCCTAGCAGCAGGTACTGGGGGGCCCTGGGATGGCGCAGGGACGTGCTCGAACAGGTGACCTTCAGTGCAGGTCCAGGAAGCCACAGAGGAAGGAGTGTCTCTTGGGAGGGAGAGTATTCAGTCTCCTCCCTGACGCATGCCTGCGGGCCAGCCTCCGTCTCGTGGGCCTCCAGCAGCTGGGAGAGCTGCTCAGCAAACCCCAGGCGCCATGATGACCACAGAAACCGGTCATCTCATTCAATCCTCACCAAGCTCCACGGCACCCATTTTACAGGGAAACTGAGGCTCAAAAAGGCAAAGGCTGTGGCCAGTAGCACCTGAGCCCAGGCTCAGCCCAGGCCTGCCTGATCCCAGAGCCCGTGTCAACAACTGCCCTGTGAGCTCCTCTTTACTTCCTTTCTGAAATGGCTTCAACATGCTGTTCAATCAGTGCCGCTTTAGTTGTAAAGCCAGGTAGTATGTGGTCAGGGCATGTCTGAGGCCTCAGCTGTGTGTGCGTGCGTCCCCGTCAGACCGCAGACCACCTGAGGGCAGGGGGGACGTCCCTGGTGCCCACTGTAGATCATGGCACAGAGTGGGTGCCCAGCAAACACCCAGGAGTGAGTGACTGGGGAGTGAATGAGTGCATCAAGTCAGAGTGAGGGGCCTTGCAGGGCTGCAGGCACTGGGTCAGAGGGTGGCTGAGCTGGTGAAGGAAGAGAGACCAGTCCTCAGTAGCTCCCCATAGCCAGAGTCCAAGGTCAGCCATCCTGACCCTCTCAATCCAGCAAACAGTAAGGCCTCTTTGGAAGCCACGTGGCCAATAACAAGTCGCCACCTCACTGCCATCTATCTGACCCAGTGCCTAGAATGCCTGGCATGGCGGGGGTGGGGTTGGGTTGACACCTCTTGGCTCGCCCCCAGGGCAGCCCGGGTACACCTCTTCTCTGACCCAGGGCCAGAGGCTCGCCCAGCTGCCCCGCTGAGTCCTCCTTGTGCCACTGTCCACGTGGTACTGGGTGGTGGAAGGGGCAACTTCAGAATTGGGTGGCTCTGGATTGAAGCACCACCAGGGCAGACAGGTTGACAGACGGGAGGAAGGCTGCCCCCAGGTCCTTCATGTCTCCCTGCTCCCACCCCTTACTCTTTCTCCTGGTGGCAGCCGGGGACACTCAGCTCACTTTGCTTCCTTCTCACCCACCGGGAAAGCGGTCAGCCACGTGGGGCCCCATGCCTGCTCTGCCCCCGCTCAGCACACGTCCTGGGCCTGCCCCTGGGCCTCAGGTCCCTCTGTGTATTTCCTGGCTGGACTGGGGTGGAGCTGGAAGGTTCCCTGAGGCTGGATGAGGCGGGGTTCTCGAGCCCAGCGCTCCTGGGGCTCAGCCTCGGGGCTGTGTGGGAGCCCTCAGGAAGTGGCAGCTCCTGTGCCTGGAGGTGGGGCGCAGGGCCCGCCAGAGGATGGCATGTTCCCACCGGTCTGCCACACTCTGGGCATGAAGCTGTGGCAGCGGCAGGTGGAAGTGAGAGGCTGCTGATCCTGCCCACGTCCCCCTGGCCATCAGCCTTCCCCATCCCAGACCCCAGGCCCTGCTCCCCACCATGGCCCTTCTCTGCTGGGAGTCCCTTGGTGGGCTGGGCACAGGTTGGGCACAGCATCCTGCCCAGCACGGCCTCCTGGGCCTTCACTTCACTGGGAGGGAGGAGGAGAGACCTGCCCAAGGGCTCCCATGCCTGGTGGCAGCCTGGGCTTTGGCTTTCTGGGGCAGCCTGAACCCTGCCCCACCGACCTGCGAGGGTAGGACGCTGGAGGGCCTCAAGGAGGCAGCACCTCACTCTCAGCTGGTGGCTTAGCCTTGCCCGCCTGGCTTAGCTCCTGAGCCTCAAGGACCCCATGGGGCTGGAGGGCTCAGGCCGAGCAGAGAGAAGATGGGGGTCAGAGAGGGGTTGGGGGTGACACTGCACTGAGACTTGAGGGGTGAGAAGTAGCCCCATGACTAAGGGGTGGGGCGGAGAGAGGGTCCCTGCAGAGGGAGAAGCAGGCAAAGACCTTCTAACCCAAGGGAGCCCCGGGGCTACTCATCAGCCCCACCCCCATGCTTCAGGCCACAGCGGCGGGGCCTCCAGGGGGTCCCCAGCCCAGCCCAGTGTGGTGGAGCCCTGGTGTGGCACTGGTGATGCCATCCCAGTCTGGGCCTCAGGGCTGCCCTCCCGGAAGTGCCAGCCCCCCGTATTCCCAAAGGCCCGAGGAAGACACTTGGAGCCTTTACTGGAGCTCCGCGAGGTGGACCTGACTCAGGTCGGAGGACGGGCAGGCAGCACCCCTGGCGCTCCCCCTACCCTGTTCACTGGCTGGAGAGAGGCCAGCGCCAGTCCCTTGGCGAGTGTCTGCCGCTTAGGAACGCGCCTTATCGCAGGCCGACAGCAGCCGCCTCCTGGCCTGGCAGCTGGCTGACTTTTTTTTTTTTTGCATCACGGTTTTATTTTGAAATCACAAGCAATTCAAAGTGACCATGGTGAGGCCTCTGTCGAGATTGTTCAGCAGAGTTGCCCAGTTTTATGACTAAACAGTGCAGCATTTTTCAATGAACTAACTGTCAGGATCCTCTTCAAAGAAAAGTATTGCCTCCATCTGGGCTTTTCTTAGACGAGAAACACAGGGCGGAGAACTCTAAACATCGACATGCCCATCCCGTCTCCTCAGAGCTGCACACTGGTCCCCGCCTGTTACCCCTTTTTAAACGTTCTAGATTGGCCACCCGGACCTTCTCCTCACCCTTCCCAGAGGACATCCCGATCTCCCTTGCCTCCAGGACTTCGCACGCGGCAGCTGCAGCCTGACTTGATTCCTCAGCAGAAGCGGCCCCTCCTCTGTCCTCCTCCGAGCTCCTCACATGCGTCCATTCAAGCATTTATCCCGCCTTCTTGCTGATTCTGTATTTGCCATTTTTGAGCAAAGGCCTGTGTTGGTGTCACCCCTGTAGCCCCTGTGGCTCTGGGTGTCCAGCACCGATTTTGTGCCTAGTAAGGAAGGCTGTCAAGGGAGCAGATGAATCCAGAGAAGCCTGTGGAAGCAGGAAAGGAACGGGGACAGAGCTGCACCTTCTGTTTAGCTGACAAACAGGCACTGGCCCGAGGCAGAGCTGGAGTCGGTTTGTGTCCGTGTCAACGGTGGAGATCCTCCAGTGGCCTCGCATTTTTGAAGCTGAGTTGGAGAAGATCCTGATTAAGGCTGTTTGACCAGGTGACAGTTGGAGCGGACAGAGGGAAGAGGAGAAAGAGGAGGCCCGTGGGGTCGGGGGTGCCATGCCCAGGCTGCTGAGGTGGTGCACTCCGATGCCAGCCAGCACCAACCACAGCCACGGGCCCTGGGCCCCAGGTGAAGGCCCAGCCAGCACCCTCACTTAGTCCCAGCAGCCCCAGCGCAGGGCTCGCACTGCCCATTCACAGGCGAGGAAGCAGCAGGGAGAGGAGGCGTTGTGTGCACACTCCCACAGCGAGGGGCGGCAGAGAGAGGGCAGCCAGTGTCAGGCGCCCCCCCAGGCTGGGCCGCTGCCCGCACCAGCTCTGGTCCCTGGAGGCTGGCAAGGCTCAGTCCTCTGCTCCCCCTCTTACTCCAAGAAGAAAAATGTGGCTTGACCGGCAAGAGGAGGAAATAAGCATAGTTCTGCTTTGTCTGGAGGAGAGGGACCCTGAGAAGGGCTTTTTGCAGCCCGCCGGAGGCTGGGAGACAGACCGGCGGCCACCCGCGCGTTCCTGGCCACTCCCACCAGCAGCTGACTCACCACCCCCGACAAGGGGGTGTCACGGAATCAAAATGCCCGACCTGCTGCCCGTCGTGAAATACCCACCAACAGAGGAGCAGGTACCTTGGTTCACAGCGTCCTGTCCGTAGGACGCTGACGCTGCTTCCTGTCAGATGGCTACAGCTTGCGCTTGTCCCCAGGAGAACCACAGCTGCGCTTTACGGGATAAACAAGAAAACTGCTGGTCAGATACGGTCCCTCCTTTGCACCTGGATTACGTTTCTGTAAAGTCTCTGTTAGAAGAGTGGGGTGGGCAGCCCTCCAGGCTGGAGGAAACCTTGGACTTTTCCCCGCTGTGCCAAGGCATCTTTGTGTTTGACTCACTTTTTCAGATAAAGACAAGGCCACACCGCTCGGGGCCCAGCAAACACACAGGCATCTTGCCCACTTTCAAGCTCCCAGAGTGTATTTGTCTAGTGGGGGTGGGCCACCCTGTTTATCTGCATGATAACCTTTGGACAAAGTTTTGGTTTCATGTGACTGCATGGAAATGAAGGTAAAAAATGATGATTGCTTCCAAGAATTCCAAGGGAATTCTTAGGAGACAAAGAATTTGGGAAATAGTCTGGCCAAGGCAGGGCTCATGACTCGGGCCAGCCCCAGTGAGCCTCTCTGTGGCCCTCGAGGTGCTCACGGGGCACGGCTCCAAGCCGAGCTGGGCCTGGGACCTGGCTCCAGGGGCCCCAGCTGTGTGGCCTCAGGCAGGCTGACTCCCTTGGCGCCCCCCACCTGGTCAGGCTCTCTGCCTGTGCTCGCCCCTTAGGGACTCGGCGTCTTGCTCCTGCTTGCTTGGTCCCCGGGACTCACGGTGAGGCTGTCTGCCATCACCTTGGGCGACCGCAGATCTGTCCATGTTGGTCTCTCAGAACCAAGACCTTCACCCTCAGGCTCCTTCTGGGAACTGGTCATCATGGAATATGCCTTTCAAACTTCTGAGAGTCCACCCTCTGACCTCCACCCCCTGTCCCCTCCGCGTGCTTGTCTGACTACTGCTGGATTCTTCTCTGGCCTCTAGGCATAGTTCGCCTCTCCTGTCCCTGGTCAGGGGTCCACTCAGGTCATGTGCTCTTCTCTTCCCCGGGTGCTCTCCAGGGTTCTCCACTCAAGTCCTCTCCTGCCCACCTGTGCCCTCTATCTTGCTGTCCCCTGGAGTCCCCTCCCCTCTGGCCGAGGACTCACACCCGGGGGAGAAGTGCTGCTACCTACCAGCTCTGGCTCTCACAGGCATTTGGACCAGCGACTGGTACCTGGAAGGTGACCAGTACCTTTCTGTAATGAATTATACTGGCTTCTGTAATCGTCATTTCCCTTTGATTTTACATCTCCTTCATGCTCCTCAAGCTTTGGGACCCCTTCTCTCTTCCCCCTGCTCAGATGATCTCGCCTATTTGACAGACAACAGAGGCTTCGATGTTGCGACCGGCTCTCCCTCCACACCCACCACCACCTCTTTCTCCTCGTCACCAAGGAAAGTGGACCCATGTCCTGAGACGGCCCCCTCCTCTAGATCCTGAATAATGCCATCACTTCCCTTCTCAGAACCGGTCCGGGGGAAGCTGCCGTCTCCACGCCAGAGCTGCTTGCCCCTCCTTAGCCAAGGGAAGTCCTCCCTGACCCTCCTGCCTTCCCAGCTCTCACCCGCCCTCCTTCGCGAACTCCCCTCTTCCTTCTCCCACCCGCCTGGCTCCTCTTGGGAGGGTGGCCAGCTCTGCGCCCCCAGGTCGCCAGGGCCCATGTCGGGAAAGCCCTAGGGCTGATGTCCTCTTTCCCTAGTTTATCTCGCCTGCTCCCGTGGCTTTAATTACACACTGAAGACACTGGCATTTTGCCTCCCCACCCCGAGCACCTGACAGGTGCTAAGTATTCAACAAATACGAAAGAAATGCAGCTTGCCTCCCTCCACTCTGGGTCTCAGACCAGGGGACACAGCTACACACTCCCCGCCAGGTTCTGGGTGCCCGAGCAGACCTGGCGACACTCTGCTTCCCTGCGGCAGGTGGCTTATCCTGAAAAGAGAAGTCACCGTCTACTGCAGTCAGCACTTACCAATCCGACAAGGAGGAAATAGGATCTGGGGCAGGGTGACTTTTTTTTAAAATGAACATTACCAAAGTCATCTCTCTGACACTGCAGGGCATCCTGCGTCCTCCAGATTAGCAGCTTCCCAGCGATTTCCGCAAATAGGGCCCTGGGTGGGTGGGGATGGCAGGGGTGCAGGAAGAGCCTTAGTGAGACCCCCTTCCCAATCCTGCCCATCCACCCACCCTGCCCCTTCCCAAGGAATCAGAACCCATATTTTCTCTAGGCCGCATCACAGCAGATACAAATATTGCCAAAGATCTTAGGACCCACAGTGACACGGAGGGCCGGAGGGCCCCCACGCTGCCTTGCACACCAGGGCTCCCTTCACCAGACCCTGGCCTACGTGGTGCCCAAGCCCGGCAGCATGCCAGCGTCCTGAGTGCCACTGGGTTTTGCAACATGATGGGGTGTGGGTGACAGATGACATTTGAGAAACTAATCAACAGTGGCCTTGGTGGTATTTGGAAGGCGTTGACTCACTTAAAAGTAGAGAAAACCTGAGAGGGACAAGATCTGAGTATTTCACAGGCGTGCCGCCATTTGACCTGTTTACATACTGGGCATGAAGTTTGGGCAGGCATTCAATTAATGAGGAGAAGATGGCTCCTGGTCTCAGTGCCACTCACCCTGCCTGCCTTGCAAGTGGACACAGCTCATCCCGCAGCTTGGCTGGCAACCAGACCAGGCATTCCGCTCAGTCCTAGATGCTAGAAAGGTGGGTCCCAGGGACGAGCAGCTTGCTCAGGGCCACTTGGTGCACAGTGGGGCCAACTCAGGTTTCCTGACTCCTAAATCTGGCATGTCTACTCTTTCAACTAGGTTTTGCTAGTAGGTGGGCCAAAAAGCCTCCCTACAGTCCTGTCCCATTCAGTGAGGGAGAATAAACCAGTTAACCAGGAACCATTCATAATTGTGTTGCTCCAGCCTTCTTGGCCTTGAGGGCTGGGAGGGAATGCACTAAATGTGGTAAAAGCAGCCTCCCCGCTGAGGAAGGCTTTCCCCTGTCCTCTTAAACCTCACAACACCAGAAGTGGGGTCCAGGGCTCAGACAGCTCAACCCTCGCAGACACTGAGACACTTCAGAAGCTCTGATTTTCTAAATTCTACTGGAAATGAAAACCTTGTGGACCAAGTCACCACTTCGATCTTTCCTTCTCAGATACAGGCAACACCGGCCAAATTGTTTTAATTTCCGAATTTATTAAAATGATTAACCTCAATACTGCAAGTGCATGTACAAAATATTTGTAAAAAATGTTTTTAATGAAACGTTAAAGAACTTACCTCAAGTGCTGAAAAAGTCCTTTTTTCATTCTTTCAGTACAAGGAATACATTGTATCTCAAAAGTATTACAACTCAGCAAACCAATTTAAAACAGTAATTTGAAAAGCGATTGAAAATTGAATACATGTATTTTTATGATCATTTCCTAATTCTTACAATGCCAAAATTGTTACGAATCATTGCATAAGCTCAAGCTAAGGGTTTTATTGAATGCAACCTCACCAGTGTGAATTTTGCCACGCCACACAGTGAAGTTTTACAGCAGAGCTGAAACAGCTCCGAGGCCCCTAACTTGGAAAACGGAAATTAGGTTTCCCTGGAAGGCGCCAGCAGGGGCCGCTGAGCGCTTGCGCACCTCGGCTTCCTGAGGCAGTGACCACATGGGATGTCACAGCTCAGACCCATGGGAGGTTGGCCTCAAAAGGCCGCAATAATATTAAAAGAAATGTCATAAATAAGTTACTAAAGTAAGCTTAAAAATGGAGAAAATTGGGAAATGTGGTATTTTGTTACTTCTTAAGATTGAAATTCCTGAAATGGGTATTGTATATATTTCAAGCAACAGTTCAAAAGTTAGTCTCTTAGCCTCTTCAGAACACTTCAAAGTAAGGTGGGAATAGAAGAGGCGACCCACTGCTCTCCGGCATTTCCTAGACGCGGGCTCAGTGTGACCTTCCTTGGTAGCACGCGTCTCCCGCTTCTCTTACACAGGGATCCCGTCAGGACGGGATGTGGTCTGTAAAGCGTTCTGAATGCTTCGGGGCACAGACCTGGGGGGCTGCCCCAGGTCACGAAGTGAAGAACTCAAGCACAGGGGGCATGAGTGTGTGCAAGAAGTCAGCTGCACGGCCCACGTTCCACCTGAGGGATTAAGCTGCACTGGACAGACCAGGATGCGATGGCACAAGACCATAGAAGCGATTCCTTGAGGAACATGAGAAAAAAATTCTCAATTTAAAAACCTCATAAGAATATTAACTTCTATTTGGAACCTACTAGCACTAATTCACTAATTTTAAGGAACTTAATTTAAATGATGTCCTCGGAACTTGGAAGCAGGTAGGAATCAACTGGTAATAACAGGAAGCACTGGGGGTCTCTCCACTGGACTTTTCATTACCTGCAGGCTCCTTTTAATATTTTAAGACATGGGCTACTTTTCTACAGATACTACACGAATCCCCTAAATTGATTTTACTTAGGAACACTGTATATCTGAAAGTACATGTACACATTTCCCAGAAAGAAAGAGACACACTGGTACAGATTTATATTCCCAAATTCTTTGTCCAATGATTTGTAAAATAATCCAGAGAAACAAAAGATTGAACATAATAAAAAATTTGGTCATTAAGTTACTTAAAATTCTCTTCTCAAAGTGCTTCAAAAAACAAATTAAATCTGACTCCTCTCTTTAATAGTCAAAAAAATCTTTGATACTTTCATACATAAACTAACATAAGCCAGGAACTCCCACTGATGCAGTGCTTAAAACTATATATTTATAATTTCCTATTTTATTGGCATGAATATTTTCTAAACTTAAAAACCTTCCTGGTAAGTTCTTTTAATTTCTTATGACAAAAATTTCTCACAACACACAAATATTTACAACATATACATTGTTTTCAGTTCTTTACATTGAATTTCAAAGACAGACATTTTTATAGGTTACCACAGAACAAAAGCTGTGACTCATGTTTTTATTTCATAAACTATTATAAGTTAAAGTGAATAGTTTAATATTCCTTGTAGCATTTTACAAGTGCAACAGAAATCTTGACCCAAATTAAGATAGCTGTAGTTCATTAGATAAATGTTGTCATCACATTGTTCACAGCAAATTTTTGAAAAAATAAGCACCAATCATTCTTGCAAAGAACAATTTTATCTAAAAGAATTGAAAAGTGTTAAATACAAGGTCTTTAATTTACATGACAAGCAATAAATACGCTGTATTGAAACCCATCCTGCACACTGCCACCCTTGTACACATTATGTACTGAAAAGGGAGCCGTCAGCAAGTAATTAATTGTACTTAGAAAAACGAACAAAAAAACAAACCAGTTTGACTCCCAACCTATGTTTGCTATTTTGACCAAGGCCATAAACAGTGCACCTGGGCTAGCAAACTGTGAAACTGACAGAACTCCAAGGGGGGATTATCTAGCAAATAAATCAATAAGCCAAGATCATTGCTGGTGATATTAGCATATACTAGAAAACCTTAATATGCTGCAAGTATGATTTGTTTTTAAATTATTGTTTAGTTACATATTAAAGAGCCAGTTGATGCTCTTAGTTAAAAGAAAAAAATTGTGTAGCCACATTATTGTTTTCAACGTCTGGTGTGGAGAGTTGCTATCACTGTACAATTTTGCTTGAGCCTTTATTTTACAACAGGGCTCTCTTTACCTCTAACTCGGAATTGCACGTAAGAAGGCTATTTAAAAAGTACAATAAAAATCTGCACAAATCAGACTTAAGAAGAGTCGGTACACTGTACACTTTCTACAGTATTATGCTGTTAAGTGAAGAGACATCAGAAGGGCTGCCACTAAAAGGTTTCAGTTGAGGAATAACTGAGTGGAATTTCTTTAAAGTAGTTATCTCAGGTCAAATTAAGACCAAGAGCTTATGCGTTAAGCCTCAGGGACTGATCATCTCTTCTCCGGGAAGAAATGTCAATATCTATGGAGTCTTTCCCAACTATCAGCCTCAGCCGCTTAGCTGGAGGAAGAGGAATGAAATCATCCTCAAAGTCATCGTCACAGTCCTCCTCCCCACCCCCCTCTGAGGAGTCGTCGTCTGTACTTTCCTCCTCGTACTGACTGTAGTCATCGACTTCCATTCGAGACTCCAGGAGAGAGAGAGGGTTGCTACAGCACACCCCATTTTCATGAAGCCCCTCTGCACATGGCCCCCTACTTTCCTCGTCCCGTTTTAGCTGGATTTTTAATTTTGTAGAACTATTGCCTGATCCTGAGTTAAATCCATTATTAAGCTTTGCTACATAGAGATTGTTATCGTTCTCGTGGTCTTTACTTAACTTGATGCTGATTTTTGAAGAGCTCATCCCATCGCTTTCTTGGTCATTTGTCTTGCTGCTGCTATCGTGACGCCTGCGCAGAGTCAATTTGGGAATCCCAGAGTTATTTTCTAGGATTAACTGTGCATCATACCTTGTGATTCGCCTCTTCTTTTTACTTTTTGCAGTTCTGAAGCTGTCTTTCATTTTGAAGCTCTCTGATGTCACAACTGAACCGCCAACTGGTGAAGGGGCCCAGTCCGCGTAGCTCCCGGGCCCGCCCTCTGCGCCGCTGTGCTCGCCCTGGTCAGAGTGGGACCCCGTCATGTCTGGCACCACGCTGGCCCCTCCAGGGGAATCATGCCCTGGAGCTGATTCCTCTGCTTTTGGCAACTGTCTCACAAGTTTGCCTTGTCGGGCTTTCTTTCTGGACATGCTGATGTCACTCTTATGACACTTGGCTTCCCCCTTCTGGGCAGTTTCGAGAGCCCGTTCTTCCCACACTGCAGGGGCGGGCTGCTCGCGACTGTCTGGGCAAGATTCCGTCAAGCTGTTTTTATAGTCATCCAATGTATTTGGTTCAAGCTTGATGTCAGAGGTCTCCTTCAAGTTCATTCTTGTCCTCATCGACCGCCTGGTTGTGTAGGTGCAGAGCACGCCCTCCACGGGTGAAGGCGCCCCTTGCCCCGAGTTCTGTCTGTGTTCTCTCGCTGCGTGTCTAGTTAAGCACCCACTAGCTATTGTGGCTTGTACTGGTCCCTCTGGCTCCTTATCTTTTTTGATGGGCAAATTTTTATATAGAACTACTTTAGGCTCTTTAAGTACTAAGTTTCCCATTTCGAGTTTTCTCGAAGCACTCTTTTGCTCCAGCCGTTTGCAATGATTTCGTAATTTTATCTTTGAAAGTAAAGGCTTTGTAGGCTTTTTCAGTTTCTTTGGTACCCTGGAGTTATTTATATGAGTTAGCTTAGATGAGGTAGAGTTGGAAGCAGCTGGAACTCTTGACATAGATTGCCGTGTTAATGTTCTGCTCTTACTGTTCTTTTTCACACCAACTGAAGATTTTCGGTTAGAAGCTGCAAAGTTTAAAAAAAAAAAAAAGGGATGAAAAACAGCCTTGGTGACACAGTAGTACAAAAACAATGCCAAAAACTGTTAGCTGGGAAATGTCTGGATCACACAAGCATATGGCAGGCAGACCCCCATTCGGTTTTTGCCAGTACCAAGCATTCCTACATGGTCCCTAGTTCCCAAACTTCTGCCTCACGATTGGAGCACCGATTCATCCTCGAGCTAAGTAATGCTATGGTTAAAGAGCTCCTGGCACAGCAAGGACCAGGATTTCACTCTGTCCTTCATCTGTCATAATGCTAGTCCAAATGAAATATTTCTTTTCCTGATTTGATATTTTACCACATAAAAGATTTGAAGGAAAGCTAAGTAAAAACCATAGTTCTTTTCCTCCTCACAAGTTCTAAAAATCATCTTTAGATAGGTTCCTAAAATCCATTCCTCATGAACTCCAAGTGTGTATCACTCACCCAATAAACCTATTCCTAAAAGGCTCTGAGACAAGTTCTCCCGTGGTGGCTCAAACAAGGAAGAAATCCTAAGGGCCATCCATTGTGACTCCCAAGAGGCAGTCCCCGAACACTGCTGTGGCCTGTCCTCGGTGCTGTTCCCTCGGCTCTGCAGGGCCCGGCAGACTGCGAGGGGCCACAGAGCTCACTAGGCCCCGGCCCTCCAGAGCCTGCCTGCGGCCAACACTCCATCGCATCGGAAGAGGGGAGCAGCACCCTGCTGGGTTACACTCCAGGACAAATGGGGAATCCAGCCTCCTTCCTCCCAGCAAGGACACCCAGGGGCTGGATGACCCTGCTAGGGCAACACCCTAAGAACTACCATGACCGTTGAATGGCTTCTCCAAAGGCTTGTATGTGACTCAAGTTTAAGCTACTCCCAGTGAGCCCCTGACCCTGCCACTGACTTTCTCTGCTTTTCTCTACATTTACACTGTGAACCTGTATTTGTAGTGTTTTATGAGTCAATTTTTCAACTACTTAGTCCTTCTCATTGCCCCCACCAGAAAATCTCTACCCCATCAAAATAGCCCTTTCAATCAGTCACTAGGAAAGCGGAGATGCACCGAGTTAATAATCACCAGCTCTCACCAGGAAATAGCATACAGTGCAAAGACTGTGGGTAAGGCCAGCACGCCACCCAAAAAAGATGCGGCGGCTCACCCCACGCCTGAGGGTTGCCAGGGCGACTGCTGTTCCTTCTGCGTGGCTAAGCAAGCACGCTGCCATTACATGTTACTGAGAGATATAAGAATGTGCTAACAAGCGTTCCAAAAATATCAAACTACCAAGAACAGAAGGACCCATACCCAACAGAATGGCTCACAAATGGCTTCAGGGTGCCCAGACCAGCAGAATTCCTGGGAATGCGATCCAGGGAACCAAGGTGCTTCTCCGTGTGGACTGCTACCAAGGAGGCCACTTATTTTTAGCAGAGTTTGGATGCCATTGAATTTGAGAACAACCAATGTGTTATGTACTGGAATTATGCAGAACTAGTTAGAAATTATTTTTAAAATATAAGGCTATTCAGGGCATTCCTTTGCTAAAGGATTTACGTTTACATGTCTTTTTTACACTGAGGTAATGGGCTTACCAATGCAAACACGTTATTAGTGTCCAGCGCTTTGCTTTCTCAGATGTGGCCATGAAATCCTTTGCTCAGCCATGACTCTTCGGAGACTCTTCCATGACCAGTCTTAGTGGTTCTCAACCTTATTTTTCCTTTTCCTAACCTACTCGTTTCGTATCTGCAGTAGCTCCTGCACAGTGACGACACATACACCCTTTTCTCAATAGCCATCCCCTGCTATTTGGATCCAGCCCGTGCACCCCTTGGAGACAGTCTTTGCCAATCTCTGACAACCTCCTTGTCATGAAAGCCAGCAAACACTTTTCAGCCCTTACCTTTCTTCCTTTTTCTGTAGAATGTGACATTACTGACCGTTCTTTCCCCTGAAAACTCCTCTCCCCTTGGCTGTCCACACCGGGGGCCCTGTTCTGCCATCTGCCCTCGGCTGCACTGCTCAGGCCTCTGCTGTCCGAGGCCCTTTGCAACTTCACACACATTCCCTGGATACACCTGCTCCCCTATGGCATCACCATCTACACGCGGGCAGGTGCCAAGCCACTTTCTCTAGCCTGGCTCTCCCCTGAATTACAGCTCCTATCGCCACACACCCTCCAGCATCTAACTCTCCCCTGAGGGTCTCAAAAGCCCTCACAGTCCACATGCCCGAACTGAGCTCGCCAGCTAGGCTCACAGCTGCCCGCTTCTAAGTTCTCCATCTTGGTCAACCACACATCTGTCCAGTTGGCCAAGCGGAAACCGAGAGGTCATCTTTGACTCAACTCTCTCTCACTGCCTCACTCAGTCAGCCACATCCCCTGAAGTCCACTCCTGCAGTGTCACGAGAACCGTCTCCTCTCCACTGCCAACGTCACAATCACCTGCCTGAATGGCAATAGCTTCCTGCCTTTTTCCATTGCTTCCCCAACATCCCATTCTTCACCATGATGTCAGAATGATTTTCCTAGAGCACCACGTCACTTCTGGGCTTTGAACAATTTAATACCCTAATGTCCTGAGAATAAAGTCCAAAATTTTTTTAAATGGCAACGTCCTCTTTCTCACCTTCTACTCCAGCCATGATAAATTTACTGCCTCAAGTTCTACAATCATCCCCAAACCTTCATTTATGAAATCTCCTCTGCTTTGAATATGCTTTACTTGCCCAATTTTTCACCCCTTTAAGCCTCAGCTTAGGAAACATGTCTCTCAGGAAGCCTTTCGTGACTTTCTGTATCAGACAGGTTACCCTTCCTATGTATTCTCAGAGCCCTGGGGCTCTTTACTCTGACACTTTGAGTAATCCATTAGAGAAATCTCATTTTACGGTAATTCTGAATCTGGGCTCTTTTCCTTCCCCCTCCTTCCAAGAGACTCATTGTTAGTTGACTGCAGTGAACCTCTAGCAAACACTTTCATGTGTCTGTGCTCTAAATAGCACAAACTAGACTGGATCTAATACTACATATTATTTCAACACAGATTTCACTTACATGTTTACATATTTATCAGTGTATTCTCATTTTAGCTGAAAAGCGTTATCTCTTATCAAAAGTCCAGCTAAAAGGTGTGATCAAGGTAAAGATAAAAAAAGACACAGATAAGCTGGGCAAAGAGAAATGTGGGCAATGTGACTTCAATACAAGTACAGTAACGCCAAGGGCTCCTCACTGTCCGAGAAGGTCTGTACTATCTTGGGGCGGGTTTGAGAATGTCAGTGACAGAGGGCCAAAGGAGGAAGACGCTGGCCACAAAGGCCAACTAATAAAATCTATCAAGAGCCTAAGGATTCTGACATAGTACAGGTAAGATATGCCTATGGCTATGCTGGCTTCAGCACTAATACACCGTACGTGACTCTTCCCTTAGTGGCTGGGACAAATCCCAAATGCATAACCTAGTCAGGAACTTTAGATGGAGAGACACATTCTTAGCAATTGTTATATATTAGGTACTGTAAAAAACAGCCAAATTAGTGTGATCTCTACTCTTAAAAGCATTCTTTGAAGTAAGAGCTATTACATGTATGTGAAAACCAAGCTCACATGGACTGGTGTGCCTACGATTGTCCATCGATTAAGTGACAGACATGGGATTTGAACTGAGGTCTGTGGCTCAAGATCCCAAGTTTTAACCACTCTTATTACAGTGCCAGTCCCAATACATGAGTGAAGGACCCATGGCATGGCTGTCACAACCATTTCAGGATGTCCTCAAACCCTAAGGCGGCCCTGCACGGGCGTCCTGAATTACAGCCTGGTGCAGGAGCAGCAGGACAGCAAGGTCGTCCCGAGCGCTCAGAATGCACCCACCTTCTGTCCCGAAGTCACAGAAATGCACTAGGATGGGAACCAAGGTGGTAGGAGGGTCACACAGCTCGGCACCTTCAGAACTTGAGCGTCCAGAAAACCCTCAACAGTACTTTACAGATATTAGTTCAAGTTTACCAGGCAAGATGAACAGATTCCATCTTATGTGATTGACACACACGGGCAACAGCTGCCTGGGACACCTGCTGGAAAGGATTCCCAGAGAGCTTGTAGGTTTAGCAGCAACATGTTCAGATCACTCAGTGACATCTGTGACAGGTGACAGTGAGAAGTGGTAACCCAGCCGTTATCTCTAGGACAAGTGCTCCTTAGTTAAAATAAACCTGGTCCACTGGCCAGGTCATCTTAGGTTTTGCACAGACTCACGACCTTTCTAGTGACTCACATCCCATGTCACAGCATGGGGGGAGGCCTAGCCATGAATGCACAAGAGGCCTAAAAAACCAGAACCTCTTAATAATGGCATTAAAATTCAGGTTTGTGGACTGAATTTGTGGAAATGGACTTCTTGTTGTCTCCTCTCTCTGCATGCTGAAGTGAACAGCCAAGCTGTGACTCTTGAGATACCTTTCAAAATCAGATCTGCGTGGAATGAAGAAATAATTTTTCTTCTAATTAGGCAGCAATGTTTCTTTAAAACGAGTATACATGCTATTCAAAGAAAGCAGTTCCCATTGGCTACAAAACTCTACATGAACAGCAGGAAAAAGGTGGGCAACGGTGCACGGAGAACATGTTCTGAATCCACATACACCATGCGTGCCCCCTTCCCTTAGGGGAGAGCCTCTGGCTTCGCTACCTGCTGCAGCTGCAGAGCAGTCTTTCAAATGGGTAGAAGGGTATGGTTGAGACACAAACACCAAAGAACTACAGCCTAAAATACATGGAAGAGCCCGAGAAAACACTGCTGCCGACCTGATCTAGCACACCCTGGTCTCGGAGATGACTGGAGAAGCCTCGAGCCCCTACAGAGCACTGGGCCACCTCTCTCAGCTCCGACCTATGACTCTCAGAGTCAGTCACACCAACTCTTGAATTACTCAAAACAATCATTCTGCAGAGAGGTAATTCGACTAAAGTAATCACCCTAACATAGGCAGTCCCTGGAAAGTGCACTTATTTCCATCCTGTAATGCTGAGACCGCAGCTCAAAGGGACGACTTGCTCCCTTCCAACTTAGGCAACGGCATTTAGTCTGCTCTGCAGTCTGTGTGCCCACGCCCTCCCTGGAGCAAAGGCATAAGCCCGGGTCTCACACATCTTTGTACCTCTTTAACAGTAGGCTTTTAGTAGGTATTCAGTTTATTAGTAAATATTGCCTAGTTACTACACTCAACACCTCCCCCCAAATATTTATATTCTGATCTTTAACACTGAGTGGTGTACTGTATTCAGTATCTATACACTAGTAATATAGTTAATGCAGAAAGACACAAACACCCCTATGAATGTCACAGAGCCATTCAATGTGGACCAGCGTGGTGGCGGTCTCCCTAAGTGTCTCCATAAATGTATACATTTATAAAATGGGCTCACAAGTCTCCAGTTTCACCAAGGAACCAGACTCAGAAAACAAAACATTGATTATGCTGCATTTATTATTAAAACCAACAGTCAACAGTGAATGACAGGCTAACTGCCCTTTTTTGTTCACTTTGGACATTAAAGACTAGAATAGGAACACAGTATTGCTTTTACACTACAGAGGTTATGCTTGGCCTCTGGCTCCAAGCAGCACACAGATTGAGGAATTCGTGGCAGTGACATTCACCAGCACAAGGATCACCTTCCCTGTTCTCTGGGATTTTCAGCAGGGGAGGGGAGCCCAAAATCATTGGGTCTCAGAGGGTGCTTAGGTGCTAACAAGTATCTACAGACATTTACAGTGCCAAACCAGGTGTAACTGGGCACCACCACGTCAAAACTTTTAAACTTTATTCCTGTCAGAGACAAGTCAGACTACAGAGCCTATTACTTCAGTGGCCACTAGAGAAAATGGGTGCTACCGAGATGAAAACCTGTAGCAACTGGAATGGTTTCAGGACTTCAAAGCTCCACAAACACGATGTGTTTCTTTTGCGCATTTAGGCTTTCTTCTCTCTTTTCTCTTTATTCTTCATTCTCGTTTTCCAGTTTCCATTAGGTCTTGCCCCCACACACAACTGGTTATCTTAAGGCTTGCTTCTCTCTCCTTCTCATCTCTCTTGCTACTTCAGTGGCGGCTAATACAACATGTCATAGTGTAGCGACATCCTATCACAATTCTGAGTCTGGTAACTGGTGGCTTGGTGAATTGTATCAGGCAGGCTGGGAGTAAAAAGGTGGAAGCCTTGAGGCCAGAAGCTATGAACTGCCCAGGCCCATCATGCATCCTACCCGACTGGGTAGGTGCAGGAGCACGTATGTGCCCGATTAGACTCTACCCAGTCCTTTGTCTTCTTGCAGGCTAACATCATCATTACAGTGAAACTAATGCTTTGAAAATGTTTCTCTCACACACATGATGACCCTGGGACATATGATGATGAATTTTATATCCAGTTACTAAGTACTCAAGAAAAGCAGACAACTCAGTCTTGAGTACTGACCGGGCCGCATCTCCAGGTGGATGCTGACTGCCGTTATGCTCACATCACTGCTACAACTTTGCAGTGCTGCTGAGGCGCACGAGTCCCAGAGTTTCTCTCAATATTTAAAAGATCAAAACGACTGAAACAAGCTTTAGAAAGCAAACTGTGTGAAAATACTTAAAAAAAAGGAAAAAAAAGACAGGCTTATGAAACCTCCCTTACTTACTTGCGTTGGGTTTTTCCTGAGAGGGGTCTGCATCAGTGTTAGAGCTGACAGACTGACTGTCTGAACTTTTGCTGCTGTCACCTAACTTTTTAAGCCTATTTAAACGTTTATCTGTTTCTCTGAGTCCGTATTTGCTATTGATAACAGGAGCAGGTGCAGGCAGTCCCACTCTGGATTTAAAAGCACCAGTTCCTCGTCTGAAAGAGAAAACAGCACAGGTTAAACGAAGAGCACGCTTACTTGTATTACAACAAGCTTGGCTGTTGAGGGACTGGGGCCCCACTGAGAGGCGAAGAGCTGCTGGGGCCTCAATCATCACTCGAACTGACTCTCAAAGGAAATGAAATATGCATATAAAATTAATGCAAAATCCCCTCTAAACTTGAAATAACAAAACAGATTGCTATGACTACTGCCAATTGATTATTAACTGCTCTTGAGAAGCTCTTGGGCCCTATAGAACTTTATGTGCAGGTAAAAATAGAATGAATTCTCCAACTTCAAAACTGGTTAGTACTAAAATAATCCACCTGTTAATTTATTCTAGCTCTGTTCTGCACAACTTAAAACCACATTACTGAACACTGAGACTTAAGGAATTAAAAAAAAAAGGAGAATTTCATAAATTAAGTCATTACTTAGAACATAACGTTAGATGCAAAAGAAATTCTGTATAAGGTGAGGCTTTGTAGTGAAAATCCGACTTGTGGAATAGTAATTACATCATTCCCTTAAAGTTATTGAAATAAACATGAATGATCAAAAATAACAAAATATTACTAAATAAAAGAGTTGCTTTTACCATTGGATAGCTTACTTTATGTTTATATAAATTCTTCTGATGTGAGGGTGCTTAATAAGAGTGCTTACTAAACTTAATTAAGGAATCTAGCTTTGCATCTTGGATTTATTCAGTGTATAAAGATGTATTTCCACTTAGCTATATTCAAAAGATTAAGTAAATTATAAATTAACAAATTTTAAAAAAGGCATGACATACTGCTTGTAAAAAAATGAGAAATCTCTTCAGCTAAAGTTGTCTTCACTGACTTGGCCTTAGCTTGTTAAAGCCACATCGTAACAACCTCTGAACTTGTGGCAAAGTCGCCAACTGCTGCCATCACCAAAGCACCCCTGCCTTCTTCCCTAAGGCCCCACGGGATTGACTACTGTCAGGACTGAGATGGAAAGAAGGCAGCCTTCTCCCCCAGGGAACCAGAGCGCTCTGCCTTTCGTCAGACAATGGTTCTATTTTCTCCCCCTACTCTCTTACCTTTCAATGCCGGGAGCACAGAGCTAAACCTACTGGAAACTATTTTTGGCAAGTAAGGTGAACATTCTTGCTCCTCACCTTCCTAGAGTGGGTTTGGAATTCCATTTGATTAATACTGCTGTAAAAACAACACACTTAATGTGTGGCTCCCTTGGTTTCTTTCTGGAAGGTACATTAGAAATCACTGCAGACCCCCCGGGTCATCCTCACAAAGGTGAGAGACCAGTCATACTCCACATCACCTTAAATACATGCAGAAAGGGAGAGAATACATCCCAAAGGCAAGTTCATTTCATCTAGATTAAGAATATAATTTATTTTCAGATATTCCATTCCTTTTACCATAACCTGTAACATTTCTGTGTGATTTCTAGATAGAAGGGCTATACTTAAACACAAAAATGATCATGGTAGAATTATCTTTTTATTTTTTTGGTAAAACTCTACCATTTATACGTTTCTGTATGTCTGTCTTTGTAACATATGAAAGTAATACATGCTGTGCTTGCTACCACAGTGCAACAATTCTAGGACTGATACCCGTAAAGCAAGTTGACAGTACTTCTCATGCTCCAAGGTACCTGGGTCAACCATCTGCAATGCCCTCCCCTGCTCCTCTGACCACAAGCTACATACTGATTTATGCTATGGTTTATTTTAAGCAAACAAAACCAAAACAGGATAATTACATTTTATCTAGCAACCAGTTTTTTTATCAGTCCATCATGAACAATACATCTGCACTGAGTATGTTCTAAAAGTCGTACTTCTTACAGCAAATGAACGTTCCATACTTTACTGACTCCTCGTGGTGACTACTGACAGTTGTGCGGCTGTTTTTTCTCTGCCACCACAAACAGTGCTGCTATGCTGCCCTTGAAACCAAATCCTGACTCACTGGTGCTCCTAATTCCCTAGGTCAGATTCTTCCCAATGGGACTGCCTGCCAGGTAAAAAGGGTGTGCTTATATTAACAATATTGCCAGATTACTTTCTCAAAAGGTTAGAGCAGTTCATAGCCCTCCCAACATTGTATAAATGCCTGACACAGTATATTTCTTTAAGTTTACCAAGTTGACAGTGGAAATGAACGCCTAATTATTGCTTTAGTTTCCTCATTTATAGCCATGGTTTTCTGTGCAGCATCCTCCTTACCTTTCTTTTCTCCTGGGGTCCGTCTTTTCCTTACGTGCTTATAGGAGCTTTGTGTCATTAGGATTTCAACTCTGCCATCCTGTACTTTTTTCTCCTTCGGTTTATCATTTGTCTTTGACTTTATTTACTTTAAGCCATTCTTAAATTTTCAAACAGACCATTTCTTGTCTTACATCTTTTCAAAAGATCTCTACTACCCTAATATTAGACATAGTCTAATTTTTTTCCTAATAGTTTTGCATTGTTTTAAAATTTAAGTCTTTAATCCATTTTGAATTTATCTTGTATATGGTATGAGATGGGGGTTTAGCTTGGTTTCTTTAGGGTGCACAATGAATTATGGCAGCATCATCCACTAAAGAAGTCATTTCCCTACACATGGTACTGAGATCTCATACCTCCCTCAATTTTAGGACTGTATTTGTGCCCTCTTACCTACTTGTCCATTTCTGGGCCAGTATCATCAAGCTTTGACCACAACTGTTTCATAGTAACTTTTAATATCTGTTAAGGCAAATCTCCCCTAACTATGCTTTAGGTATTTTTCTTGGTTGTCATCATACTTTCATATAAGCATTAAAATAATTTGGTCCCTCAAATTTTTGGTCCTTCTTGAGTTCACCACTCATGCTGTCTAGAGGGAAACCTGCACCACTTTATGCATGTATTGCAGCAGCTACTGTGTTAGGGTGCCTACAGCCCAGAGGTGGGCACCAATGCTTCCCAGACACCTCACGCACGATCTCAGGGCCTCTCTCCCTTCTTTCCTGGGCCACCTCTCACCCTTCACGCCAAGCACATTGTGTGGTGCATTCCCTCTCGGTGTGCTGTCCCCACAGGGCAGTGCGTTAGTCTTGTCCACCTACAAGACCTGGCCTGAGATGACGGACTATCTCATAACTGGTGAGCTCCTTTGGCCAATCTCATTATCTTACCTGATTTCTGGTAAGGCAGAAACAATTTGGTGTTCCTAAGATTTTCAACAATATTCACAGCCATGCTTTGAATCAAAATGTTCAACTACAGTCTGATAACAGCAATGCACTGCTCTGGATTAGGCCTTCCCATTAAAAAAAGGATCTACCCATGTTTTTATTTGTGCCCTCTTACCTACTTGTCCATTTCTGGGCCAGTATCATCAAGCTTTGACCACAACTGTTTCATAGTAACTTTTAATATCTGTTAAGGCAAATCTCCCCTAACTATGCTTTAGGTATTTTTCTTGGTTGTCATCATACTTTCATATAAGCATTAAAATAATTTGGTCCCTCAAATTTTTGGTCCTTCTTGAGTTCACCACTCATGCTGTCTAGAGGGAAACCTGCACCACTTTATGCATGTATTGCAGCAGCTACTGTGTTAGGGTGCCTACAGCCCAGAGGTGGGCACCAATGCTTCCCAGACACCTCACGCACGATCTCAGGGCCTCTCTCCCTTCTTTCCTGGGCCACCTCTCACCCTTCACGCCAAGCACATTGTGCGGTGCATTCCCTCTCGGTGTGCTGTCCCCACAGGGCAGTGCGTTAGTCTTGTCCACCTACAAGACCTGGCCTGAGATGACGGACTATCTCATAACTGGTGAGCTCCTTTGGCCAATCTCATTATCTTACCTGATTTCTGGTAAGGCAGAAACAATTTGGTGTTCCTAAGATTTTCAACAATATTCACAGCCATGCTTTGAATCAAAATGTTCAACTACAGTCTGATAACAGCAATGCACTGCTCTGGATTAGGCCTTCCCATTAAAAAAAGGATCTACCCATGTTTTTATTTGTTACTCACACTAACCTTGTGGAGTAGGCAGGATCTGATTGTGAGAAACTAAGGCCCACTGGAGAGAACTGTCTGCCTGAGGAACATGACCACATGAGTAGTTCTAAACCAGTTAAAGAGCGCGGTTTCAGGGTTGGTCTGAAATCCTGAGTATGTGGTTACATTTTTCAGGACAGCCTCCAAAATCTTATTTAGCATATCACTTGCTCCATTCATTCATTCATCAAGCACCTATAATGTACCAGGTACTGTCATGGAAGCTGGTGATATAGCAGTAAAGGAAAAAGATAAAAATCTCTACCTTCATGGGGATTATATTCTAATGGGAAAATAACCAAAACCAGAAGATAATTTTATAGCTAACATTTGAGTATGCTGTTTTAGATGCTTTATTTATAGTACATTTAATCCTCACAGTAACCTGATCAGATAGCTTCTGATACCATCCCCATTTTACAGATGGGGTAATTAAGGCACAAAAACAGCTTAGGTTGCCTAAGATCACCTAGCTAACAAAATGTAGTCATAGGATTCCAACTCATGTGGTCCGACTCCAGGTGTTGGGCACATAACTGCTATACTATGTTGTCTCTGTAAAATGATTCTGAAGCATTATTCAACTATAATTGAACTATGTCATGGATTAAAGGGTCTTTTCGTGGCTGGTCTAAGATTCAATCACTGAGCTACTTTCTACCAGAGAAACAGCTATGGTAGTACCATGATGCTATACCTCTGCTCTCTCCTGATACTGGGGAAAAGCTCTGGCCACAGAGAGAGAAGGGCTATGGGACCCCTAGGGACCCACCATCCCTTGGCTGGCTGGCTACATGGGTGTTTTCAGTGGAAGAAATAGCACTACTGGGTATCTTTGCTCACACTTACAAAAGCAATATGGAGTGGAGAGAATGAGGGCTTTGAAACGAGGATCGGAACCCAGGTCAGCCTATTGAGCCTAGTGCAGCCCTTTTCTGCACTCCCAGTGTGGGCACAGTACAGTTCTCTCTCCCCAGATGGCCATGAGGACTGAATGAGTCAGGGCCAGTAAAGTGGCTAGTTAGTACAAAGTATGTGAAACGGGCTCAACAAATCCAGGCTTCCTCTGCTCTGTGGCTTCTTCAGGCTGCACTACCCGGGCAAAGGGAGCCTGCCTGCAGCAGCAGCCCGGGCAGGTGTGGGAGCTGCCTCTCTGAGCTCCAGTACGCACAAGTCACTGCGATGAGCAGTGTGAACAAGCAGTCCTGCTTAGTCACATTTGGGGGATCTCTACAAGGACTCTAGAATCTTAATGAGTCACAAAAAGAGGTTCCTCACCAGGTTAAAAGAACCTGGGAATTATGAAGAGTATGTGCATTAAAACATAAAAACTCCAAAAGACACAGCTTGGTGATACACAGGACAACTTCAGATTTACATGATTATCAGCAGTGAACTTCACTTGCCATTTTTGGGGCAACTCCACCCTGGAGCCTTGTGGGTGTGCATGTGTAAGGTATTTCCCATTGTCTCCTTAAGGACATTTGTATTCAGATCCCCTCTTATGATTAACAGCTGGTGGTTAACAACTGTAAAGCGTCAGGTTTCAGGGCTCTACGTAGTTCTGCATCCTTCAGGTTTGCTTAATCACACTGTGCGGGGGTGCACGCTGCAGACAGTAAAGACCACCCCTGCATTTCACGGTGAGGAGTCCATGGCAGTTAGTCATCAAGCGGTCAGAAGAATATAAAGCTGAGCATCTTACTCGATACTTTACCTTTCACAAGTGTAACATTCGCAGAACTCATTATTTTCTCCAAAAAACCCATCTCCATAATAACAAGAAATTTCTTCTCCAGGTTCAATATCTCTTAGAGCCTTCACACATGCTGTATCTCGACCAGTGGACACAAACTGAAATAAAATTAACTCATTAAGAAACTCAAATCTGAAGCAGAAACAAAATACCTGAGATAAAAAAAAGTTTATGCTTACCTTACAGTTAGGTCTGCAATCTGAAAAATGTCCAAAAGATAAAGTCAATTAACTGTAGGTTAGATCTGAAACACGAACAGTTACAGAAATCTGAAATAAGCTTTTCGTATAATTTTACTTCTGATAGAAGTTTCGGTCTCAAGTTAAAGGAATCTTTATTTTAGTAAGTTTATGAAAAAAAAGGTATTTTCCAACCCTCCTTTAAAGGAAGATAAAGGTTTTTCTCAGTTTGATAAGGGCACTCTAAATTTTAGCAGCTCCACCCAACCCTAAGTGCTAACCGCTAGAAATGTTGCTTACCATGGTTTATAAACGCAGCAGGACCAAGCCAGAGCTGAGCACAGTTTTTCCGTGTGGAATACATTACACTGAAGTCGTTTTCTCCATGTCTAAGTAGCATGTTCTCCTCAATTTCTGAAAGTTCGGCAATACAACCCACCAGTAATTCTATTTTGTCATTTCGTTTCCTGTTTAAAATATGTGATGTTAAAAATTGGTAGTAATTATAAATAATAAGACTTCTCTTAATAAAATAAGCCTGTCCACTAAATACAGGACTTGGGAAGACCTGGCTGCAAGTCTTTCAGCTGGTTCACTCCGAACCCCCCCAGACAATCACCTCAGGAAGCCCCCAGCTCTGCACCCCAGGGACCTGTGCAGCTGCCTCACCCCTACGGGAAGCTAGACCGTCCTCCAGGACAGGCTACCCGCACCGCTGAGTCCCCTGCAGCGCCGAGTGCAGTGCTTTGCAGGCAGAAGGGACGCAAATACCTGCTGCACTGAGCTAACATGCTGACACTAGATGAAGGAGACAGGGACAGAGTCGTGAAGGGCCACAGGGACCCAGAATTGGGATCCCATCCTCCAGAGCAGCACCACCCAACAGAAATGCAATGGAAGGCAAACATGGGATAGTCAACGGTCTTGTAGCCAGTCACAAAGTGAAGACAAAACAGGTGAAATGACTTCCAGTAACATATCTCCAAATCCTACTTCAGCAGGTAATCAGTGTAAGAAAGATTAATGAGAAATACAATATACAATCCGGCATGCTGATCACATTTACAACATTTCTTAATTCAGACAGGCCCCATTTCAAGGGCTCAACAGTCACATGTGGCTGGTGGCTACTGCACTGAACAGGGCAGCTCTGGAACCCGAGATCTCAAACCTCCACAACTGTCTGTAACACAGGGAGCGACAGAAGCTGATGGGCAGGCCTGACGCATCCCAATGTACACTCACGTACACACACTTGTCTGGAAGGCTGGGAGTCATGCTCTTTGCCCATTCCATTTTTAGTTCCCACACCTAAAAATTTTTGCCATAAAAAATACTGGGGGTGTCATATGAAAGGGAATACCCGTTTCTTCTGGGAGACAAGATAGGGAACAGGTATTAGATGAATGATATATTCATATATTCCCTCTTTCATGTATGGTTTTTATCCCTCCAGGCTGGGCTCACCCTTACTACGCTTATTTAAGCCAGCGCACATACATATTTTAGGCAGGCAGTGTGCTGGGAAGTTTCCACCTGTGAAATCCCTAGGATCACAAAGGCTTCTACCCAACCTTTCTTCCAGGTCAATAAAAGACTGACTCTGGAAACCAGGTTACCCATCCCTGGCATCCCTAACCTTCCAGCAGTCCCATCACTGAGCAGGCATCCAATTCAATAAAAGGAGAACAAAGCACTTTGGCTTAAAGACAGGACCTGGCTCAGGTCAGACTTCCTCATCTCACCACCCTGACGGGGCTGCTGAGCCAAAGCACTGGCACAGAGGTGGCACCTTTGGGGTGAGCTCTGGCTTCATCCCTTCACATGACACTCTTTAGCACCTGAACAGTAATTTAAGAGAGAACTTTAAATAAATGTACTTGATGGGTTTATACTAGTATAATAGTTACCACTCTTTCGTTGCAACTATTTTGGCTCCATTTTGTTCTGATGAGTATCTATTACAAGGCAGTATTTCAAATCCACTGTCAGTTGCAAACATTCGCAAGTAAATAAATACCTAAAACAGAAAAAACATTGATATTCACTTCATATTAAGTTGCTTATTCTGTTAAGACTTTCTCACAATTATAAAAGCAAACCACCATCAACAATGTACAAAATTTAAGACCTTAAGTAACAAACTTTGTTGTTATTTAAAAACTTCACATATTTGAGTATCCATGGCTGAGTTACATTACTCTGACAGTTCACAGTACATTTCATTTCGAGATGTCAGTTTTCTCTTTGGACTGTCATATAAATGATCTTATGTGTTATTAAGTTTTCATATTGATTAGTTTTATAAAAAATTGATATAAAATGTCAGTATTCACTAAAATTTAGCCTTTAAGTTTCCTTTACTCTTAACCCAAACAGATAAATAGTATTAATCTTACTAATAAACCTACATGTTCCTTGAATAATTTCTCTTGCATTTTGTTCTTGTTGAGAAAATAGTGCCGTGCCCATTCACCCGAAGTTAGACATTTGAAGGCTTTCTCCAAGTGCTCGTCTTTCTTAAAACGTTCAATTACTTCCTTTAGTTCTTCTTGCCTTCCTTTAATTGGCCGGAATCTGAAAGAAGTCCGAACAGTAACTTTAGTCGCCTGCCATCATCCTCAGGCCTACTGTCAAGAGAGCATGAGAAGGAAAACATAACCTAAAAACAACAGGCCTAACAGAAGAGAGGGACTGGTTATCTTGATAATTACTATTCAAGTCATGCTGACTACCAAGAACAACATCTTTCTTCAAATTGCACTTTAGTATCTTTATTTCACTGTTCTTACTGACTGAAGGTGATCAGATGATTCAAATGAAAAACTGCCTGATTCAGGCTTTTACTAGTCATCTAACTTGGAAGGTACAAAATGAAGGCTCTAGAATAAATCTAATCTAATTAAGAATTAGAATGACAAGAATTTTTTAAAACATGCAGATTCAAGCCAGAACAGTGCAAGGCAATGAGCTTCAGAAAAATGATGAAGCAAAACAAAATCATGCCATAAACAAAAACGTTCTCCATGTAGACAGAAAAACCTCAAACTGAGTATCCCAACAGGTCTTGAAACACACCTTGTCAATATCCTTAATCAATTTAATCTTTGGTAACTGCATTCAGAGAATATTAAGGGTGCAAAAAGTCCAAATCTAGCAGCAGTGATGCCATATTAGTGATGTAAGGAAAAACCAGGTAGAATTTTAAAGGTTCCTTTTGAAAATCAACTCTAATGACTTCAGAATATTACATTGCTAGACAGATAACACAGGATACAATCATGCTCCAAGTAAGACTTAATTTAAGTCCCTCATTCTAAAGCTGTGTTCTCAATAAAATGTGTATGATTAAAGGTACTGGGATCTCAATTATCAAAATTTCTTCTCATGTAATTTCATTTGGCTTATTTTCCCAAATAGTTTTTTTTTAAACATCCAATAAGAAATTATAGACTGCTATTCAAATGAAATACATTGACAAAACAATATTAGTGGCTCAGGAGAAAAAAAAAATTTGAACTATGCATCTTACTCTAACATTTAAAAATGCATATATCATAGACTTAAAATCTAAAACTGAGATACATCTAGCACAAACTCCAGCAAAGGAAGCCTTCAAGCATACTCTTTTCTAGATAAGCTAGCATGAATATGATTCATAACATTTGAGTAAGATCTTAAGCCACAATATTTCACCAAAAATTATTTATTATGTGCTTTGTACACAGGTTATGGTGAAAAATCTAAGTGATAGAGAAGACATGGCCACTGTTCTTGAATGGAAAATTTAATTGGGACTAAAACACATATCCGTGCATCAAACAGTTAAGCAAGGCCTCAGTGTGCAAATGCATGTTAACATGGTACAAACTAAATTGCTACAGCACTTTACAGTATGGAAATTATACTAAAGTGTAAGATTTGTTCGGGAAGGGGTTCTGTAGTTCATTCATACTGATACAGGCAATAGGGAAGTGGGTAATTCACCTTTCTAAAGAAAAAGCAGAATACTTGTACAGGCAGGAAAGAATCGAAAGAAGGCAGGCAAAGTGAGAGGAAGTCTAAGCAGAGGACCCTAATAAAGCTGGATTCAGAGATGGGCAGGGCGGGGAGAGTCAGCTGGCAATAGTGAAGAAATGCTCGAACGAGGAAGAGGGAAGAGATGAGGTCCTGCATAGGTGCGACACAGACCTGGACAGGATCTCTCGAGGACTTCAGCTATTTTCATGCATGCTGACACCTCTAGGAACTTACCAGCTTAAGACTTTATTAAGCTCTTAGTGCTCTTAGGCAGAACTACACATTCTAGAGATACCATATGAAGAAATGGACAAAGCCTTATTTTATTTTCCATTTCAATCAATTAGCAAACCAGCCCTCACAGAAAGATGAGTGCAAGTTGTTTAAACAATTCAGAATGTCAGTAACGAGGATGTCAGAATATGGTGTCAAGAGAGCCACCACTAAAATAATCTAAACATCTGCAGAATAGCGTTTAAGTATCCAAACTTCCACAGAACTGTAATATAAAACTACCTACTTGTAGCCATCGCAAGTGATTTTGTCCATCACTTGGAGAATTTCTTAGAAAAACCCAATCTAAACTCTAAACTCATCTTGCTGTAACCCTACACTTAGGGGGTTATACGAAGGACAGATAAAACAATCAAGCAGCCATTAGCTAAGACATACCACTTTAAGCAATACAATATGTGAAATGGCAGGAAACAGTTAACACGTTTTATGCAGTGAACAGAAAAGCAACAGTTCACTCTGAGCAAATATGATGCATAATCCATGATGTTAAGTGGCAGGGCTACCAATGACAGAAGAGCCAATCAATCTTTAATGTGGAATTAACCAATGGTGACACTATTTTATAAAAACTGCATGGCTTGACACATTAGAAAGCAAGTTAAAATCAGGGCTAGATTCACCTAAAGCTCTTACAATGACAGAAAAATAACAGACCTGAAATGGCCACTAGCTACTCCTGACAGACGTTATGCGAGCTCGCCACTCTGAAACATGCTGCTTCCCATCTAAAAACGTTTTTCAACTATCCTGTTTTATTTGTTCATCCTGAACTCTGCTCACAATGCCAAACAATTTATATGCTAAGACCCATACAAAACAATCAACTCTTGATTTAGTAATATTCTGCCTTCCATGTTTCCTTCGCTGACTTTTGTTTTTTTACCTGACCACTACTGCCTTAAACACAAACCCCCTGAAACTGTCCCTTGCTACCCACTAGCAAGAACTTCCATTTCACTTAAAATTTACTGTCCACACTCACGGTCACAGGCCGGCCGCTACAGGTGTGAAATGGCAGTGAGGCAGAGGAGGAATGAAATGGTTCTAGGCGCGCGCGGAAGGGGAGCAGACAGTGTTTTCGATAATCCTATCGAAGTACATCAAAATCACTTGGCTAACAGTTCAAGTCAAATCCCATTATAACAAATACTGCAGGGGAAAAAGAAATTATTTAAATAATATAAAAGTATTACAACTATTAGGGCCAGAGGAAAAGGCACTGAGGACCTTAGAAAAAATTAATTTTCTACTACTGAGTAGAAAAATACCTTCTGCCTTCCCCTCAGCCAGTCATTCTACATCTCCCACACGGAAGGAACAAAGCTATGCTCACATTACAGCTAGAAGAAAATTTAAGTTATCTAAAGCCCTCTTGTTTCATAAATGAGGAAAATAAGGTCCAACAAGGGCTAATTAATGGAAGGACTGGGACTAGTACCCAGGCCTTCCTTGGTCCTGCTCTTATCTGGATTCTGAGGGCCCCCTCGTGCTGTTTCACGATCGGAATAGGATTTGACTTGTGTTTGCCGTCGAGCACTAGCAGGGAGCCCAGCCAGAGTCGGCAACGGCTGACGCGCTGACAGTACAGTGAGAGAGGTGGACACAAAGACGTATTTTCAAACTTAGTATCCAGGGTGGGGAGGGGTGGCAAGGGAGGCGGGAGAAACAGGTACTTGGCATTTCCAAATCAACATGCCTAGTCTCCCTCTTGAATACAAAATTTATGACTTTAAATAAACCAAACACTTCTTTTTCCCCTCCCACACCCTGACCAATAGCTATATAAGAAAAAAAATGTCATTTAAATTGTTGATCATTAAAAAGGGCAGGAAAAAACATGAATTTACACTCCCACACACCTGTTCCCCACTCTTTCCAGAGACTGACTTCCCAGGTTTTCTTGCTATTTGGTTTTCCTGTTTCCAAACCCAAGAGACCACTGTGGCAATGAAGGAAAGCTGTAGGTTTGTATTAGCTGTACTACTGTGCCCTTCCATGACCATGTAATCAAGAGCTGACTGGAGGGAGGGGGAAGGGGAGGGGAACAGAAAAAAGGGAGCAGGGGGAGGAGAGAGGAAGAGAGAGAAAAAAGCTCAAATATTTAAGATATAAAATAAGAAAACCATGAGGCAACATTGTGAACACATCTCCCTCTTCACAGGAGTTTAGCTGCAAACTGGTATTTGCAGTTGCTGAGAGGAGTCATGCTAGAACCACAGCTCTTCATTCCTTCTTGACCTGAAATAAACAACAACCAGAAACATACCTGGCTGAGTCCTGCAATCACGGCCCAGCTAATCCCATGGAGTGACCCCTGATCTTTCGATGAGTGATTTCTCTTAAAATTACCCTTTTATGGAGTACAAGTGGTTTTTCAAATATAGCTCTAAGACCAAACTATTTTAAAAGGTTTGCAAAATGTTCTAAAAATCATGTTTATGCTGACACCTCCAATTACTTAACACAAAAGAACATTATAAAGGCTGAATGAAACAGGTTAGTTGGCATCTTATTATTGCTTGTAATGCACTCTACCTACCTCACAGGGTTGTTGTGAGGAAAACTGTCAGATTTTGAAAAATGCCTTGAGCTCCTCGAAGGAAAGGCGCTACATAAATGCAAAAACAACAACAATAAAAAACTCTTTGTATAATTTGTACTTTTAATTTCTATACAGACTTACAATATCAGTTATAGCAGAAATCCTCAAAACACTGTGATATTCAAGAAGTTTATGAAGTTGTGGGTGGACTCAGGATAAGAAAAGCAAGGACACTAAAATTCTTCCCTTCCCATGTGTCATTTTACCCCTGATTATATTAAGTTAGAACGTCTATAAACTTAGGCTTTCCAGTCAAGCACTTAACTGAAGAGATACTTCAAGTGATTTTATAAATTCATATCCAACAGTGGATATGAATATTCAAATGCATAAAAAAATAAACCAAAATAAGATGGCTACAGCAGTGGAAGGATGAATAAGGACTACACAGGCTGAAGTTTAGGTAAGTCAAGAGTCCCAAAGAAAAAGTGCCCTGAGATGAGTCTTCTCATTTCTTTATATTATTTCCTGCTCGGCTCACTGCTCATTCAAGTCTCCCCTCCTCCTCAGGATACTCTGAAATCTCAGGATCATGCAGCCTAAACAAGGGGGCATTACTCAAAGCATCCATTCCTGCTTGACAATACCCACCTCCCCATTTGCTTTTTAAAACATCAGTGGTATTACTAACAACTCTATTCTGTGATTTAAAAGGAAGACTTTAAGCTTTATAATAGACAAAAGTCAACTAAATCTAAGTATTTGTTTATACTGTTTCTAGATATTCATGCTTCAACTCTGACTTGTTAGTAAGTATAGGGATTTATCAAAATTAAAACATCAGCATTCATAATATAGCCAGTTTAGGTAATACTCAAATCAGTAAACATCTACTATTTATGGACACTGCTCCTGATGGTACAATGAAAGGAACAGAAGGGAGGAAAAGGGCATAAAAAGCAGAAACGAAAAAATGACAATCGAATCACAGATGTACAAACATAAGAAAGCAACCACTTAAACAAGTAACAGGAAGTTGGAGAATTAAAACCCAAGCTCCAATCACACCTCCCAGTCACTTCTCTTGCACCCCAAAGGCAGCAAAGTCTATAAGCTAATAATTTAAGAAATGATTACAGTTATTCAAATAAAGCACTACAGATTTTTTCGTATTTTCTAGAAAATGATAGATATATCTGAAAATGATGTAAGGCAACCTTCTGGCAGATTCTCGCTCAAAAGACGAAGGCTTAGAAGGGATAGTTTCTTTCAAATTAAGTCCACTAAGATTAAAGGAAAATATGTACATTTTGCTAAGATTAAGAAGCTTTATTCACCAAATTTCTGTGTATCACCCATAAGCCAGTTGCAGGAGAGTCTGTTAAAATGCCTCCTGGGCAAAGCTTCCAGGAAAGGTGAGCGCAGGGCGGGTGCAGCTCCAGGTACTCCAGCCACCTACGGGCCAGCACCACTGCAAAACCACACCGGCCGCACCAGGGGACAGGAGGTAACCCCCAAAATCCAGGGCAACTCAGGGACTGGGTGACTAGAATTGAATGCTGCACTGACAAATATGCACAAATGTTTTGTTCTGCATGTTTAACCAGTTTTATTTTTAGATTCTTCCATTTGTATTCTTAAGGAATTTCAGGTACTGGATGCCTTTTAATTTAGGGGTACTTGGATGTAGAAAGGTCTTGAGTTTTAGTATTTGTTTGGTAATCCTAAAATCTACATTTTAGGTGAATTTGCACGTTTTTAAGTGAGTCCTAGGAAACCACTTACAAGCAACTTTTTATTCACTCAGTGCATCGCAGTGACGCTCAGCAGGCCACATAACTTAGGGCCTTCTATGTAGTCCAGAGATTGTCAGAGGAGAGTCTCAGGTCCCAGCCCACAGATGCATCTTAACAAGATTCTCTAAGTGCCTCACATGTAAATTATGAGAAGCAGTTGTCACGAACGATTTTTATAGAAAATATGAGTTACTTCCTATTGCTGAAGCCAGTAACAGATAACCATTTATCCTTTGAAACAAAGAATGGGGTTTTTGAATACATGGGAGTTTTTTCCTAAGCCACCACAACTTGTATTGTAATTCTAATGAAGCATAATTCATATACAATTAACTCTTTCTTGGTGACTCCAGGTCACAACTCCAAGCCTTTGTAGCAATATCTTGAACGCCACTGCCAGGCTGCTAGGGGAAACACTGATTTACGTTTTACTCACTGAGAGAGAAAGAGAGAGAGAAAAAAAAAAAGAAAAGAAAAGAAAAGGAAGGTGGCTAAAGGAGCCCTTAAACACCACCAGGATCCTCCAGGAGGAGAGCAAGTGCTGGTCTCTCACATTCACTGGGAAAAAAGGGGAATGGACTTAAAATAGTGCAAACTACATTTTAGCTGGAAACTAGGGTATCCAATCCTGTTTATTTTCCATAGAACAATTACCCATATGCTTATTTAGAAAATTTAAATATTTACCCCTCTGACAGTAGGGACTATAAATAACCTTTCAAGTCTGTTTCAATTTTTCACTTTATTTTAATAAGTAAAGATATATGATGGCAAATTACATGAAAATACCAAAGGCACTTTTTTACCTGGATTACTTCTTTCTGGATTTAGAATGTAACTGATACATGAATCACACAGTATTTTAATTCTAGCAAGGTATATAATTAAAAGGGAGTAAAAGGACACAAGGACTTCTTCTAATTACCTTTACTTACTAATTCCTACCTCCCAAACCAACTACTGGCGACCATCCCCCCATGAGCAAGTCCCTCTAGGGTTGCAACCGACAGGGAGGCTGTGGAGCGCAGTGCTGGTGTGGGTGACGAGAGAGCGCCCAGCAGCCTGGGACTTGCTCTACATACTACGTCCCTGCTGCCAGGCTTCTTCTGCCCCCAACCTGAAAACCCTCTGCCAGGCAAGTTAAGAGATAAAGAGTTGTACACCTATGACTTAAGTGTTTGGTGGTAATCACGATATTGTCAAAGAGCCTTTTTTGGAGGGAGAGATGATGTTTAAGAGAATCAGAATAAAGAAATGTAAAGGATGACAGATTTCAAGAGCAAAACGATAGTGTTTTATACAGATGGCATTTGAGGCTCAACAAAGCACTTCCACATCTATTTTCTTAACTGAATACTGAATGTAAACACACGTCTTTAAAAATATTCACTCTTACCAATAGTGATTACCTGAATCTCCAAGATTAAACATGATGGCAAAACTCCCTATATACAGTGGCAATTATTTAAAATAAAAGTCTGTAATAAAATAATGAAAAAAAACCTGCTTTAACCTGATTAAATAGGAAAAAAATCATATACTTTATCAAGATTTCACAGAATGCTTATAAGATTTTCCTTTCAGCTAAGATAATTATCATCAACATTTAAAACAGAATAGGAAGATGCTCCTCCAGCTTATATTTTAACAGAAATATCCTGAGGTAAAATAAGAACTCAGAACCGGAACTGACAAGGACCCCAGAAGCTCCTGCTGTTTTTCTGGCTCACATATAGAAAGCTGCTCTATAACAAAGAATTTTCCTTTAATGCCATTTGAAATTTTTGTCAAAGTAAAATTAGCCATTTATTTTCCTTAAATTCAGCATCATCATCTGTCCTACTCAGGATAAAGACTTGAAATTACCTAGTATTCATTTTGTGTGTTTGAAAACCTAAATAGGGATCAAGAACCAAACTGGTTGCTAGGTCATCATTTTCACAGAGCTCCTTGGCGGACATTCCAGAAGATGGCACATATCGACTCTGTCCCTCGAATCCGGAATTACCATTACCTGTGAAATGAAAAAGAAAGAACGTAACTCAAATTGAAGCCACTTAAATCTACCTTAAACAGCAGTTAAGCAATTAAGGAGTAAAATTATTTCAATAGATTTTAGTAAGAATTGAGTACCTTCTACATAAGAAAACCAAATGCAATAAACTAATCCAATTATTGAAAGTATTTTGGTTAGCAAATAATATTATCAGGTTTCCTGAAAACACGGTCTGGGCAGCAGCTGTGAGAATCTCTGACTCCAGATGCCTTCTCACCCATCCAAGGTCAGAAATGGGATGGGTGGATGTTTATCACTGCAGCATGAGAGCACAAAGGGCCATTACAGACGGGCCACAGGGGAACACAGGATACTCCGCAGGAAGGGCCAGACGGAGTCCTGAGGAGTTAACTGCAGCTTCCTGCTTTCCGGCACCTGAGTGACTATTATTATTTCCACTTTGCTGGTAACTGAGCCCCGTGGGTAAGAAACTTGCCTAGGATTACAGAGCTAGGTCATAAAAGCGGGAAAAAAGTAGAGAGAACATCACAGACCTATTTCTAACCTGCTTGAAACAGATTTTGCATGAATGGATAAAAATAGGGAAGTAACTGAAATATGTAATTAAAGTAACTGGGTGTAACTGTGGAAGAAAAGCAATGTAAAGATGGATGGAGTTTGATGAATATGTCACTGTCTTTTCATGGAGTCAGCAGTGCAATTGAAAGGATGCCAGCAAACTGTAACGTAGGTGTCCCGAAATGAAGAGGCGTGAGTACAGTGTGAGGTGCAGCCTTCTTTTCACCTGCTCTTTCCAGAGACACAATAAACATGTACATGGAAGTTATGTTTTGCAATCCAATTATTACATGCAGGTATGTGAAAAGCTATCAAAGTCATTATATTTTCTGTAACAGTTTTATTGAAATCTAAATCACATGCCATGCTAATTCACAACTTAAAGTGTACAATTCAGTGGTTTTTAACACATTCCCAGGATTGTGTAACCATCACAATTTTGGAACATTTTCATCACCCCCAAAAGAAACCCCATACTCATCATCAGCCACTGTTCATGTCTCCCTCCCATTCAGCCTCTGGCAACACTAATCTACTTTCTGTCTCTGTGGATTTGCCTGGCCTGAAAACTTCATATAAATGAATATACAGTATGTGGTCTTTTGTGACGTTTCATTCACTCAGAATAATGTTTTATAGGTTCATTCATGTTGTACCTTGCATCAGTATTTCATTCATTATGGCCAAATAATTTATTCCACTGTATGGACTTACTGCATTTTGCTTATTCATTCATCAGTTAAAACATTTAGGCTGTTTCCATTTTTTGGCTTTTGTGATTAATATTTCTATGAACATCCATGTATGAGTTTTGGTTGTATATGTGTTTTCAATTCTCTTAGTTATGTACCTAGGAGTGAACTGCTGGGTCACATGGTTACTCAGTTTAACCTTTTGAGGAACTGCGAGACTGTTTTCCAAAATGGCTGAACCATTTTACATTCTCAGTAGCAGCAGTGTACAGCGGTTTTAAATTCTTCACATCATCACTAACATTTGTTACTACCTGTCCTTTTTGATTGTAGACATCCTAGTGGTTGCGAAGTGGTATCCTGTGGGTTTGATTTGCATTTCCCTGATGACTAATGATTCTGAGCATCTTTTCATGTATTAGCATTTGCATGCCTCTAGATAAATGTCTATTCGGATCCTTTCCCATTTTTAAGCTGGAGTTTGTCTTTTGTTGTTGACTTTTAAGAATTAAATATAAAAATATATCCTTTTATGAGATGTGACTTGAAAATACTTTCTCCCAATCTGTGAGCTGTCTCTTCACATTCTTGATGGTAATCCTTAAAGAACAAAAGTTTGCAACTTTGATGAACTTCAATTTATCTTTTTTCTATTGTTCTCTGTGACTTTAGCATTCTATCTAAGAAACCACTGCCTAATCCAAAGTTGTGAAAATGTATGTTTATATTTTCTCCTAGGGGTTTTATAAATTTTAGTTTTCAATTTAGGTCTTCGATCCATTTTGAATTAAATTTTTACATACAGTGAAGAAAGTTCCAATTTTGAGACAGGGATTGTAGGTGTAGTCAAAGTAGGGTGAGGGCCTCCAAAAAAAGACCCCTACCAAAACTCTGTATTAAACAATTGAGTAAAGTTTAGAGAATTAAAGTAAAATTTCAAACTAGGAATATAAGCATTCTTCAGTGAGATTAGTTAAAACTAAAAAGCCAGGAGTAACTTGGCCTGGAATGTTTGAACATCCCCTAGATAAGAAAATACCTCAGCATAGCCCATGTCTTCATTGTGTCAATTAAATGAGGCTATTGTAAAATTTACTTTAGCCCGCGAAAAGGCCTGGCTTATCTTCTTCAACTTTGCCCAGATGCTGCTTTTCCTCCTCCAGCCCCTAATCAAGTCATATAGAACCTGGGCAATTAATATAGCAAGCAAGCCCAGCTGTAAACAACATAGTAAAAACAAGAAAGATTCCATCTTAAAGATAAGATTGCATTTTAAAACCCAAAAACAAAAAATAGGTTTCTTAACATAACAGACAACCCAGCCCACCTTGGGAGCAGGACAGACAGTCTTGAATAATGTGCTCCTAAACCAAGAAGCTGCTATTCTGGGAAAGAATCGGAGCAGTAAATTTCTTGTGTAAACTCTGCAAAATAACCCAGAAGACTGATAAGAAACTTAGTGTCTCTTCAAAGATAAACATTTGGGGACCATTCAGTGAGTCCGCATCCCTAGCCCTTTCTCTCTCAACAGCCTATAAATCCCCTAGAGAACGTGCGACCATGGGCTCTCTTGTCCCCTCCTGGCGTGAGCCAGAAGCTCTGTCCTCTCACTGTATCTCTCAATAAAAGCCTCTCCCTGGCTCTCCTACCTTGGGTGTTTGCTAAGTTCATTCTTCAACTACGCAAACAAGAACCCTGGCATCAGTTTGTTCATTTCAAAAGTATAAAAGTACAACCAATTTTTGCATACTGATCTTATATCCTGCAAGCTTGCAGAACTCTGTTATTAGTTCTAACAATTTTTTTAGTGGATTCCTTTGCATTTCCTATATATACAATTACATCATCTGCAGATAGAGATCTTACTTCTTCCTTTCTCATCTGGACATCTTTTAGTTCATTTTCTTGCCTAACTTCTGTGGCAACAACCTCTAGTACAATGCTGGAGAGAAGTGTTGAAGACAGACGTTCTTGTCTTGTTCCTGATATCAGGGGAGAACCATTCAGTCTTTCACCATAAATATGACATTAGCTGTGGGTTTTTAGTAGATATCCTTTATCAGGTTGAAGAATTTCCTTTTATTTCTACGTTTTTGAATGTTTTTATCCTGAAAGGGTATTGGATTTTGTCAAATGCTTTTTCTATTGAGATGATTATATGGTTTTTATCCTTCATGCTATTGATAAAGTATATTACATTAATTGATTTTCAGATGTTAAACCAACCTTGTGGTCATGCCATCAAATCCTTTTCATTTGTTGCTGGATTTGGTTTGCTAGTATTTTGTTGAGGATTTTTATATCCGTAGTTATTAAATACACTGGTCTGTAGTTTTCTTGTGATGTCTTTACTAGCAGGAAGTTACTGGCCTCATCTAATGAATCAGGAAGTGTTCCCTTCCTAATTGTTTGAAACAGTCTTTGAAGAATTGGTATTAATTCTTCTTCAAATATTACCGGTGTTCACCAATTAAGCCATCTGGATCTGTGATTTTTCTCTGTAGGTAGTATTTTTTTTTAATGACTAATGCAATCTCTTTGCTTTTTATAGATTCATTCAGATTTTGTATTTCTTCTTGAAACAGTTTTGAAGAGTCACCTCCAGGAATCTGTTCGTTCCCTCTAAGCCGTCTAAGCTGTGGGCACGCAGCCGCCCACCGCGCCGTCACTGCCCTTTCGCTCCTGCGAGGCACAGTGCTGCCTCGTCTTCCCTCCAGATTCTTGAGTCTTTTTCTTGGTCCATTTTGCTTGAAGCTTTGCCAGTTTTGTTGATCTTTTCAAAGAATCAAGTTTCAGCTTTACTGGTTTTCTCTATTGCCTTTCAATTCTCTATTTTCTTAATTTCCACTGTATTATTTCCCTCCTCCTGTTTGCTTGGGCTTTAGTTTACTTTCTTTTTCTGGTGTTTTAAAGTAAGTTAGGTTACTGATTGAGATGTTTCTTAACACAGGTGTTCACAACCATAAATTTCCCTCTAGGCATTGCCTTAGCTACATCCTGTTTTGTTATGTTGTATCTTCATTTTCAATCATCTCAAAGTATTTTTTCATTTACCCTTTGATTTCTTCTTTAACCACTGGTTGTTTAGAAATGGGTTGTTTAATTTCCACTTACTTGTGGATTTCCCAAATTTCTATTATTAATTTCTAATTTTACTCCATTGTGGTTAGATAACACACACTGTATGATTTCAATCCTCTTAAATTTCTTGAGGCTTGCTATGTGGCCTAGCCTGTGGTCTATCCTGAAGAATGTTTCATGTACATTTGAAAAGAGCGCATTCTGCTGTTGGGTGGAGTGCTCCACAGATGGCGGCTCGGGGGGGCTCATTTACAGTATGGCTTGTTGGTCTTTCCTTGTTCATCCTCTGCCTCACTGGTCTACCTGCTACCGGAAGTGGGGCACAGAAGTCTCCAAATTATTGCTCAACTGTCTATTTCTCCCTTCAATATTGCTGAGTTTCTGCCTCACATATTTTGTAGTTCTGATGTTAAGTGAGTTGTTGCAGTTTATCTAAGAATTGCTTTGTTTCTATTCACCACTGGCCTCTTTTTGCACAATTCTTGCTCAATAACATTCAAAGTGATGCTGTCCATGTTCACACTCTTTGGGTTTTTCCAACCTATCCCTCCAAATCTGTCTATACTAGACAAAGTGTAGCCCATGTAATGGATCAATTTCTAAAATCTTATGTATCTCCAACAATTTAACTAATTAAGACCTTTTGCACTATGAGGCACAAAAGGAGACCAACAGCAATTTGCAAAAACAAAACCAAAACTTAAAAGATGCCTAATTTACAAACCAGAGCCAATATCACTGCTAAAGTCACTATGTTCTTCAATTCCTTCAGGTTCCCATCACAAGCCACGGGGTGAGGAGTGTCCACACACTGGAGAATCCACTCAGTCTTGGGCTCTCTCTTCCTATTCCTATCCCAAGCAGATTGCTGCCTTTTTCTAAAAACAGTGACCTGATCTTACATGGAAAGGTTAAGGGCAGCCAATGAACAGCATAAACCCCTAAAAGGTAAGAAGGAAATGAAACACAGCTGGTGCAGTCTATCTGAAACAGTAGCAAACCCCAGGCTACTCCCAATCTACTGGGAGTAGGCTGATTCTAAAGATAACAGGCTGTTCTGTAACCTAAATTAACCTCAGGGAAAGTAAGAGAAAAAGCTATCCTCCTCAACACAGCCATACACTTTTGGACAATCTTCACATAAAATGCCTGCTTAGGTTTACATTTATCCTGGGGCATTTTACCCCTTCTAAAAGAACTATGAAACATATCAAATCTATTTTCCTGAACTCTCAAAAAGAGTAGCCTATTCTCACCAAGAGGTACTTAGGTAAAAAAGTAACTGATTATAACAGTACTTCACTGTCAGGATAAATGACTGCTTACCCTATATAAAAAGAAGAAATGGCAACAATCTGCGAAGCTGCCCTCAATGCCACTATAAGGTAAATTAGAGTTGATTTTATTATACATTTTCAAAGAAATATATGCTTATACTTAATCAAATATAAAAAATACAGTTTGAACTTGCAAGAAATTCAGTAGCAACACCTTAATTTTTCATATAGAACACATTAATTATTCAGGTGTAAATTCTACAAAGTGTAATTTAAAGTTACGGATATAAAAGCATGACTGAAGTTATTCTATTAAGCATTAAATTTCAGTTGTACATGTTGGATAAGAATAAAAAATGATGTAACTTTTAAAGAGTAAAAAAACTATACTGTTAGTTGTAAAAACATAAAAAATTGCTTTGGAAACGAGAGAAAATACACATTACCAACTGGAAAGAATTACCGCCCGTATCACAATGAAGAGTGAGTTAATAAGCATGTACATACATCTGCTCGACCTCCTCTCGACCGCGTTTTTGCCAGCCTTCACTGTGTCCTTTCCCGTGTGCTGTAACTTTGATTGATTCTGCTGCTCGTCATTAGACAACTTGCCTCCACTTCTCCTGCCATTCACCACCATGTTCTTGGATTCTCCCAACCACTTCATACCCACAGACAGCCTGACCCAGGTGCATTTAGTCACTCTCTTCAAATAGCTTAGAGAATAATTTCAACGTCCTCTCCTAACAGAAACAAAACATAAAAAACAAAACAAAACGGGGAGGTAAATACATAAAAGACCATGCCACACAGACCCTTAAGAAGGATACAAGGCAGTAACAGTTTCCACTCGTCAGAGACTCTCTTAGTGCTCCCAGCCATCCCTGTCATGCCACGGTCTGCAGTGCTCCCAGACTCTGCAGAGGGACACATTCTGTCTTGCTCATTGTTTGTGCTTCAAATAGTGACTGGTAAACAGTAAGTGCTAACAAATATTTACCTTTCAGTCACCGATAAGCATCATCTTTGCTCCTTATTATGCTGGCATTTCGGTAATAGCTCAGTAATCTGCGTTGTCAACGTACACATTCTGGTAACATTCTAACTGTGAGCAACCTGCTAGGAAGTCACCGCTTATGAGGAAAGCTTAAGAAAAGGCATCTAAGTTAAGCTTTGTCCCCAACAGCTTTGTTACATCTTTTGTTGTCTGAAGTCAATGTTCAAGGTATTCAAATGTCCAAGTATTGTCCTTCATGAAAGGCCCGTGCTAGCACTCCTTCAGGATGCAACACAAATTCAGAGGTTGTATTTGCTAATACAGAGGTATCCCTCACCATTGGAATTTTAATTAGCAGAATTTGGTAACTGGATTTGGATAATGAGGGGCGCTTGTAATTTATAAGGACCTTTGGAAGTGACGGTATAATACATTACATTTGTTGGTAACGAAATGAGGAAAAGGATGCCTGTGGCATCACCTCATAATGGATTCACGTTTTAGCATATAAGGCAGACCAAAAAGGCTCTAGGATAAGAAAGGGCAAAAACAGAACTTTAAAGCTACAGGGGCTTCCAGATCCCAGCACAACTCCTTCAGTTTGCAGTTGGACTGAGGCAAAGTGCCCGACACCACAGAGTCAGCCTGCAGAAGAACCATGAGAGGCCAGCTGGGGCCCAAGGCGTCTCACCACACCAGACCAGGGTCAATTCCCCTTACTTTTCTCAAACACAGAGAAAAGTGCAAATGTAAATTATTTTGAAGAACTCCCAGAAATGTATACCTGAACATGCCTTCAATAATACCCAACAAATATAAAACAATTTTCACTTGACCTCATGTCTCTTTCATGTCACAGGAATTTGGTTTGAATTCACAGTGGGATAAAATGTGTGTACTGGTGACATGCTTAGGTAAAAAGGTAAAAAGTAACTGATCCATAATAAGGATTACCTTTAAAACTGTTCTCTAATGTATTTTTCTCCTGGTTCCATCACTTTTAAAATTCAATTCGTATCAACGTCATTTAAACTCAGAAAAATGCTGCTACTTAAGTAACAGGAAAGGGCAAGTAAAACCACTGACACATCAGTTATAT